GCCGTTCTACATCCTCGTGTACGTCGACGACTTGGTCTTTGCCATAGCTGACACTGCTGGACTCGCCTACGTGAAGTCCGAGCTGCAGAAGAGACACACGTGCACAGACCTGGGTGAACTGCGCAAGCTACCTTGGCTTGCAGATCACTCGGGATAGAGCACGCCGCACCATTACCTTGACTCAGTCACACATGGTGCAGCAGGTCCTTCAGCGCCTCGGCTTCACGTACTCCCTCGCCTCAAGCCACTCCTCTGTCTACTCGCCACTCGCTCTCAGCTCTGCCTTCGGATGAGTCCCGTAGAGTCGAGTGGCCCGTACCCAGAGCTTGTTGGCTGCCTCATGTACCTGATGACCTGCACATGACCTGACCTTGCATACCCTCTTAGCATTCTTGCACGCTATGTTGCTCCTGGGAGACACCGACCAGAGCACATGGCTGCAGCGAATGAGGGTTGTTGCGCTACTTGTGCAGTACATCAGGCATGGGGGCTAGTGCTGTGGACGGCGGAGTCCAGTGGTCCTCACTGGGCACGCGCGGACGCTTCTTGGGCTGACGACCAGGCTACTCCGCGGTCGTCACAGGGTTACACCTTCAGTCTTGGTTAAGGCTCTGTTTTGTGGCAGGCTACTCGATCGTCTTCTGTTCTCGGCTCCAGTTGTGAGGCTGAGATCTACGCCGGGGCCATGGCTGCACAGGAGCTTTGCTGGCTCACCTACCTGCTGACTTACCTTGGAGAGCCGCCTCGTTCTCACTCCAGTGCTGTACGTAGACAAAAAGGCCATGCTGGGCCTTGTTGTCGAGAGCAGCGCCTGGAGCACAGAACGAAGCACATTGCTCTCTGCTACTTTCTTGCTCGTGAGCTGCAGCAGCGTGGTCAGTTGCGGCTTGCGTACGTGTGCCTCTTGAGGCCAACACATGCTATGTTTTCACCAAGGCACTTCCGCCTTGTGATCATCAGCGCTCTTCTGACACTCAGCTGGGACTTGTCCCAGTCTTGCCTCACTTGCTCACCTCTTGTACCTGCTTGTACTCTTGCATATATATATATATACCTGCTCTTGCTTGTTTAGCCATATATATATACATGTGTACTCCTACATGTGAACTGGCCTTGTGGCCTTGACCTTGTGCTCGGGACTGTGTGGTGACTTTGTGATCCACCCTGAGCTTGCTTTGCTTTGCTTTGCTTGACTGGTCTTGTGGACCCCTTGTTCTCCCCCACTTTGCCTATGGGGGTGTGTCAGAACATATAGCTTTTGCATATTGTGTAGGCTATAGTGGGGTCGCCCACAAGGGGTACAACCCAATTAGGGTTAGTATTTGTCCTCCTACTTCATTCAAAGTTCACTCATTCATTGCTCAACTCTTCTCAGTTCGCAGCATGGGTCGATCAGTTCCGTCGTCGCGGGGGATGGGATACCGCGATTTGACTGTAACTCTTGTTGATGAGCTCGGTAATCTATGCACATGCGAAACCCTCCGTCGTTTTTCGGTGTGAAACAGTTATTGGTGCGGCGAACGGTGACGAGCTCGGTCGGAGAAACTGCTTCTCTAACAGGTAATCTAAACTGCTTTCTTAGTTCGTCGAGCTCGGGCTTGTGTCAGTCTGAACTGGCGCTGTACAGTTGGCTGTGCCCCCGGGTTTCTAAATCGATCTTGTGGTCATGCGCCCGCTGAGGTGGCAGTCCTTGAGGGTAAGTCGTCTGGAAAAATCCCCGGGTACCGTTTCAATAGTTCCTGAAGTTCGGGCGGGGTACTGCTTGCCCACAGTTTCTGAAAATCGCTCGGCTGATCCTCTTCTCCCACTAATGCTATATCCACTGCGTACACGTCAGCTCCAGTGGTGACAACTCGTTTCATTGTGATGGCGTTGACGTGGACCGTTGAAGACTCGGGTGGCTGCCAGCGAGGTAGGACGACCCCAGTAGTTACCACTACTTCGCACTGTGCAGCTACCGTCGTCCAGTCAATTCGCGGGCTTATACCGTCGCAGCCAATCACGTCCCAATAAAATGGCGTGCCCATCCAGTGCTCGTTGCGAGCATTTCCTTGTAAACCGGAAGGTTCCTATCCGCAGCGGACTTTTACTCGCTCAACCTTTTACCCGTATGACCAGTGGCGTGCCGTCGACTAAGCGTGCGTCTATCTCAGGTAAGCATCGGTTAAGTGTTAACTGTAGTTTCCGTGCGGTCGCTGTTAATTAAACTAAAACGTGACTTGCTCCTCCGTCAATAAAAATCTTCATTGCTGCCTCCCCTGTATTTTCCCGTGGATCAGTACTGGGCAATCCGTCGCTGTACCCTCCTTATTCATCCGAGCCTGGATCGATGGCGTGAATCGGTACTGTGACTCGGTGAGGGTCGGTGTGGTTGGGCGAGCAGGCAGTTCTCGTCAGTAGTTGGCCCAACGTCTACGACTGCTGGCGTTTCCCTGCCTCTGAGACTCCCTCCCCTGCTCTGCTCCGCGGCGCCTCAGCTCCTCTGGACATTCGCTCTTTGCGATGGCCCGGCCTGTTGCAAGGAAAGTAGCGCCCCTTAAACGGTGCGGCAGCTGCATTTGTTGCAACGGCGTGTACAGTGGCATGCTCGATCGGTTCCCCGGGGGCGATGTCTGTAGTAGGACCCCGGCCTCGGTCGGCGTAGGATGTCGATTTTCTCGGCGAGCGCCGAGAATCTCGTTGAAGTTAGAGAGTCCGCGCAGCATGGATTTCGTGCGAGATATCCGGCTTCAGCCCTCCGAACGTAACGGTCCCACCCGCTCCGATATGAGATCGTAGGCTCTGAATACCAAGTGTTATGATGTGCAATTGAGTGAAACGAACGAGAATTGCACTATCGAAGCAAGAATACAATGAGTGAAGGCATGAGCGAAGACTATATAGCGAAACTACAGTGGTAACGGTAATGGACTGTAGTTTGTCGCGCGACGAGCCTGGGACTGAGGTTGGGAAAGTGTCGAAGCGGAAGGCCCGTGAGCGCGGGGTTACCAGCCGAGCAGGGATGCGAAGTAGGAAAAGTGATTTTCCTTACAATCGGGGAATCATTCAGTTGCGAGTTTCCGTGTAAAATAACGGAGTGTAGTGTTAATTTGGGTGACCCGAATTGGTGTACCTGATCGTTGCCTCGGACCTCGGCGGTCGCGACGAGGAAAATTCTCTCTCCGCGGGAGTTGGCAGCCCGCTCCGAACGCGGCTCGCGGATGGTGTGTGCAACGTGGCGGACGTTGGCTGCACAAGCGTGCATGTTGCGGAACCTCCCCCGCTGTGTGGAGAGGCCCGCGTAGTTTGACCGCGAGTGCCGTCTCTTGATTCCCTCTCGGCCAAACTCTTAGGTTCTCGGTACGGGCCACCTGGAGCCTCGTTTTCGTTCTCCGTCTTCACATCTTGTTTTCTTCCTGCTCGCCCGTTCCCACGTAGAGGTCCTCATCGCCTAGTGCTAGCAGAGACTCTGCTTGGCCGCGTTCGCGCTTGGTAGCGTCTACCGTAGCTCTTATTTTCTGTCGCGAGCACTGTTTTGCGTACCGTTCGTCCTAGATACACGCGAGCACTGTTTCGCGTACAGTTCGTCCTAGATACACGCGAGCACTGTTTCGCGTACCTTTTGTCCTAGATACACCGTACCATTTGGTCGCGCTCTTGCGGTCGTACCAGTAATGAACCGCGAAATGAAGGCGCTTAGAGCTGGGTCGAAGGAGGCCGCCTCCTGGTCCGGCCATCATCTCTGTTGCGGGAGCCACGGTGGACCTCCCCCCCGAGCAGTGGAAGCTGCTCGTTGAGGATAAGCAACCTCTCACGGCCCGTCTGTTCGACTTTGTCACCGGGTGAGATCCATGCGATCCATTCCCTGACTCCAATATGCACGCGTTGTTTATGGTCGCGGTGTTTAGGCTGTTTCGCGACATGTCAGCAATATTTACTAGTGGGCAGTGCAGGCCGCGGCATACCTCCGCTGTGCTTTTAGGTCGCGTTGTTTATGGTTGAGCTTTTCCCCCGCCGTGTTTTACACCGTCCGCACAGCGTGATTGTCCGGAGGTATCTGGAGAAGGAGGTGCATGAGCACCGTCCGAATCGTGACGAGTGGTGGTGTTGTCGCGGACATAGTCGCGGTGTCGCGATGAAGCGGTCCAAGCCTTTGCCGGTTTGATGGAGTGCAGCCTGGACGTTTTCAGCATCTGGTTCGAGTGAGTTTTCATTGGGAGTGTTCACTTGTACAGGGAATGCACTCGTTACGTGGGTTTAACGCGGTCGTCAATGGCACGTTCAGGGACTTGTTCGACAAGAAGAGCTCGAACGCGAGCATGCTTATTCTGCTTCACCCCGACCACCTGTCGCTTGACGGTGACGAGACGTGGAACACGCGGTTCGTTCGCGTTGCTATTCCCACTGGTGGTGCGGAACACGTCACCGGCGGCGGATGCGATTATGGAGTGAGTAACGCGTACTGGTTTATCATCAGTTTCCCGTTCATTTCCGCTCCGAGGCTCATGTCCGCTAACCGTGCGTTCGCGAGGATATGTATGTGCTTTTGGGCAGGTGGTTTCAGGGTCGCGTCGACGAGGATTTTGCGCGCTGGCTCCATTTCAGTGCACCCGCTCCCGCCAGCTTAAGGATCCCGAGCGTTCTGTTGGATCTGGTACGTCTGTGTTGTGTACGTGTTCTCGATGACCGCCTATAGTTGCAGTGGTGCTAACAAACCCCATGTAATGTTTTCCACGACGCGACGTCATTGAAGGGCTCCTGCGGCAATCTCGCTTGTCTGTTCGCGTTCGACAAGATCCTTGCCCAGTTGGACGCGGTCGCTGCCAGTGGATCCGAGCCGCAATTCTCGAGGCCAACCGCGAAGACTCTGAATGCACTGCGGCATGAGGCGTACCAAACCGCCAAAGAGCTTGCGTTCAGCTTGAGCGTGGATTTGACGCGATCCAAGCACGGCGGTGAGGCTGAAGGTGCTGAAATGGGGAAGGTGCAGAAAGTGGCTACGGGTGCGCAGGTTGCTGACCATGGTGTTCTTGCTCTCACAGGTGCCGCTGGTGTTTCGAACCGCGGAGGTGCTCGGGGGGGGACGGTGGTCCACGCTGATGACGAAGGGGAGCGAGGATACCGCGACTAAGGGTGCAACCCGCGATGAGGTTGACCGCGCTGTTGCGCGTGAGGGGGAGGAGTCGAGCGAGGAGGAGGCGGAGGCTCACGTGGTAGCGGCCGCGGCATCCAGCAGGCCCACTACATCCGGCAAGAGCATCAAGCACCTCGCGCAGCACTTGGCCCCCGGTGCTGGAAGCGCTGGCCTGAGTGGTGAGGTCGCGGGCAAGAGTCCCGTGACAGGTCCGCGTGATCACGCGTCCCTGTCCTCGTTGCCATCGCATAAGCTTGCTGCCGAGATCCTGCAGCTCGAATGTAGGCTTGCAGCGCAGGCCGAAGAGAACGCACGGCTGAAGAAACGCCAGGAGTCGGGGGTTGGTGGGGTCGCGGTCGTGGGCTTTGAGGAGCTTGCGTCCGCGCTTGCTAATGCGATTCGGATGTTGGAGAAGGAGGGCGAGGGCGATCGCGCACGAAAGAGCGGCCCTGGTCGATACGCGTAACCAGGAGGCGTTGGTGCTGGGGCGAGGTGGACGCGAGGCTGGGACAGCTGCAGGGGGGTGGTGACAGACTCCATGGAAGCCGCTCAGAAGAAGCTGACGGACAAGGTTGCACAGAAGATGGACAACATGTCGACCGCGATCTCCGCGACAGCAGAGCGGGCAATCACCACCAACGGGGTCACAAACGCGCTACACACCCTCATCGCGATCGTTGGAGGAGCCCCCCCGCCCGCGCACGGATAATAAAGGAACGGCCGCGACGGAGATTGCCGAGACCGGGGATGCAGAGTATGGAAAGTGGGCAGCGGGTGCGAAGGCGGAGAATCAACGGGGGGCGAAGAGGCAGAGAGGTCCCCAAGCAGCGGCTGCGGTGCGCAATCCGAGCGTGCAGGACATGCTGAAGCAGAAGTGGGGCGCTGCATCGCAAGGTGTAGCACCGCCTGGTCAACCGGGTTCGAGCTCGCACTCCATCCCACCTGGAGAAGCTGCACCCAAACCACCGGGCCCTGCTAGGGCAACCGCGACAGTGACAAGTACTGTGGGTTGGGGCAAGGGTAAGGCGGAGGATGGAGAGGCGCCGGCTGCTGCGGGTTCGCTGGCCTCGAGGCGTGAGGTCCACTCCGCAACGGCTGCTGCGGCTGAGGGCAGGCAGACCACGCTCGCACCCGCTCGTGCTGCAATCACCGTGGGAAACCTGCACAGCGCACTAGCATCTGCAAGTCCTATCGCGGCCTCGGTCGAGGTCAAGGCGGAGAAACGCGAACGGGGTGGCAAGAAGTTGCCCCCTCCACCCGTGTACACGATCGACGAGGACGATGCGGATAAGGAGCTGTAGGGTCTCGTAAGCAGGTGGGTCGAGGCGGGCGACGGAGGAGAGCAGGGTGGGGAGGCCGCGGTCGATGTTTATAGCAGCAGGGAGAGCGCGGACGAGCAAGACGGAGACCCCGTGATCATGGATGGTGACACCGGCCCCAAGCGCAAGGGCTGCGGCATCCGGACTCCACCCAGGGGCGGGCCCGAATTGGTTTCTGAACCCCATCCGGGGGGGAAGAAGCGATGGCTCGGACACGGCGACCGCGAAGACTTGCAGTACAAGACCGCGATCGCGATGTATCCCTACGACGGGAAGGTCGACCCCGGGCTGAACCTGAGCCAGCAGCAGATCTGAGAATGGGCCGCGGACCTGTCTATCGCCGAGGGGTTACATACGGGCCTCTTAATCACCATGCACTACCGCAACCTCGTGGCAAGCAAGGACAGGAGAGCTGTGCCAATCCACCCCGTTCTGAAATGTGCGGATCCTTTCGCGTTTTTGGTTGTAGAGGCGCTCGTTCCGAGCGCTTTTCTCCCGCCGGGACACATGGCTCCGCTTGTCTGGGCCTATTACCAAGTAGGCAAGGGCGTGGGAGGATTGCGAGCATCATCGATCATCGATACTCGCGAATGAAGAGCGCCCCTGCACTTCCTGCACATGTGCGGATCCTACCGCGTTTTGGGGATGGAAGCGCTCGTTCCGAGCGTTTTTCTCCCGCCGGGGTCATATGGCTGCGCTTGTCTGGGCCTTTTACCAAGCCAGCAAGGGCGTGGGAGGGTTGCGAGCATCATCAGTCATCGGCGCTCGCGAATGACGAGCGCCCGCTGCACTTTCTGCACATGTGCGGACCCTTCCGCGTTTTGGGATTAGAAGCGCTCGTTCCGAGCGTTTTTTCTTCCGCCAGGTCACGTGGCTCCGCTTGTCTGAGCCTATTACCAAGCCAGCAATGGTGTGGGAGGGTTGCGTGTCAGAACATTATAGCTTATACATTTGTGTAGGCTGTAGTGGGGTATCCCATAAGGGGTACAACCCAATTAGGGTTAGTACTTGTACCCAACTCTTTCATAGTTCATCCATTCTCTAGTTCTCATCTTCACATGGTACAAAGTTGGTTCCCTCGTGGGAACTGTTCCTAGGGCCCACCGACTTTTTTTTCCTGCCCTGAGCACGCTTGGCCCTTGCCCAAGTCGCGCCCCGTGTCGTTCCCCCTCTAGCGGCCCCTTTTACGGCCCCTAACGACCCCGTCGCGTCGCCCTTTCGGCCCCGTCGCGCCGCCCTTTCGGCCCCGTCGCGCCGCCCTTGCGGCCCCGTCGCGCCGCCCTTGTGGCCCCATCGCGCCGCCCTTTACGCGGCCCCGTTGCCGCCCCTTCCTGCGGCAAAGTCGCCGCCCCTTTGAGCGGCCCCGTCGCCGCCTTTTCAGCAGCCCCGTCGCCACCCTTCCACGGCCCCGTCGCCGCCCTTCCACGGCCTCGCCGCCCGCCCTTACAGCGGCCCCGTCGCCCGCCCTTCCGCGGTCCCGACACCGCCCTTCCGCGGCCCCGTCGCCGCCCTCAAGCGGCCCCGTCGCCGCCCTTCAGCGGCTCCATCGCCGCCTTTTCAGCAACCCCGTCGCCGCCCGTCCTTTTAGCGGCCCCGCCGCCGCCCTTCCACGGCCCCGTCGCCGCCCTTCCACGGCCCCGTCGCCGCCCTTACAGCGGCCCCATCGCCCGCCCTTCCGCGGCCCCGTCGCCGCCCTCCAGCGGCCCCGTTGCCGCCCTTCCGCGGGCCCCGTCGCCGCCCTTTCAGCGGCCCCGTCGCCGCCCGCCCTTTCAGCGGCCAGTCGCCCCCCTTGCAGCGTCCTGTCGCCGCCCTTCCAGCGACCCCGTCACCCGCCCTTCCACGGCCCCATCGCCGCTCAGCCGCCCAGCACCCGAGCCGCCCGAGCAGCTGAACCGCCGAGCAGCCGAGCCGCCCGACAGCCGAGCCTCCGAGCAGCCGAGCCGCCGAGCACCCGAGCCGCCCGACCGCCGAGCCGCCCAGCAGCCGAGCCGCCCCGACCACCGAGCCGCCGAACCGCCGAACCGCCCGACCGCCCCACTTGCCTGGTAAGAGCTGAGTCTCTGCCATTGCACTGCCCTACCCCACGGTACTCACTGCCTGTCTACTGCTGTCATGGCCTCCCCTAGTGTTCTCACCTTTGACGCTGAGGGTCGGGCAGTGGACTTTGAGGTCTGGGTAGATGATCTGCAGCTTTTCCTACAGTGTGATAGGGCAGACAGTCTCTCCCTCTTTGACCTCACTTCTGGTGCCTCTCCTGCCCCTGCTGCTGATGCTGACGCCACTGTTCGCTCATAGTGGGCCACGCGTGATGCTGCTGCTCGCCTTGCTGTGCGCCGCCACTTACCGACCGCTGAGCGTGCACACTTTAGCCAATACAAGAGTGCTCAGACCTTGTATGACGCTGTAGTTGTACGCTACTCTTCCCCTGCCACTGCTGCATTGAGCCGCTTGATGCTACCGTACCTCTTCCCTGACCTCATCACGCACCTCCGCACTAGTGACACTCGCTACCGCGCTGCGCTTCCTGCTGAGTTCTGCGCCAAGAACTCCCCCCCCCATGTACATCACCCTCTACTACATAGTCACCCTTGACTCGGGTGCGTCCCGCTCAGTCGGCCGGTTGCAGTCTCCCTGTCAGACCCCTCTGGGGGTCCTGTCCTTGCTAGCTTCTCCACTGTCCTTCCATGCCCTGCAGCCCCCTCTGGCACCCTGTCAGGTCTCTACCTCCCCTCGTTCTCTACGAACTTGGTGAGTGGAGCGGACCTACAGGATAGGGGGGTTGACCAGTTCACTCCTGCGACTTAGCGAGTGACCCACTGCACGTGTGCTCGGACAGGCCGACACTTGGCCACGTTCACCCGTCGGCCAGGGTCGAGCCTGTACACCCTTACTACTGAGTCTCCTCCGGCTGCTGAGTCTGCCCAGGTAGTTGCGTCGAGTCAGGTGTTTGCTTGCAGCGTCCAGGTCCGGTCCTGAGTCTGCTCCCTGCTCGTGTCGTCTGCTATCCCACCAGACTCTCCTTTGGCACCACCGCCTTGGTCACCCCTCCCTGCCTCGTCTCCGAGGCATGGCCTCCCGTGTCCTTGCCTCTGGTCTCCCTCGGTCTCTCCCTTCCCTACCTCCGGGGCCTGGCCCTACCTGCGTCCCCTGCGTCGAGGGGAGACAGCGCGCTGCCCCTCACTCCTCCGAGTTTCCTCCAACAGAGGCTCCGCTGCAGACTCTCCACATGGACGTGTGGGGCCCAGCCCGCGTCAGTGGGCAGGGGCGCGAGCGGTACTTCCTGCTGGTGGTTAACGACTACTCGCGTTACACCACTGTCTTCCCCTTGCGCAGCAAGGGTGACGTCACTGAGGTGTTGATCGACTGGATCCGCGCAACTCGTCTCCAGCTCAGGGAGAGTTTCGGCTCGGACTTTCATGTTCTGCGTCTGCACTCGAATAGAGGCGGAGAGTTTTCCTCTGCCCGTCTGGGAGCCTTCTGTCGTGCACAGGGCATCCGTCAGACCTTCACGCTTCCGGCCTCTCCACAGCAAAATGGGATTGCTGAGCGCCGCATTGGCATGGTCATGGACGTCGCTCGTACGTCCATGATGCATGCGGCTGCACCCCATTTTCTGTGGCCGTTTGCAGTTCAGTACGCCGCGCATCAGCTCAACCTTCAGCCCCAGGTCTCCATGCCGGAGACCTCCCCCGCCTTGCGGTGGGACCGGGAAGGTTGGCGATGCGTCTGCGTTTCGGGTCTGGGGATCTCGGGCGTTTGTCCGTGACTTGTCTGCGGACAAGCTGCCCCCCCGTGCTGTTCCCTGCGTCTTCCTTGGCTTCCCCCCTGACGCGCGTGGTTGGCAGTTTTACCACCCCACCTCGCGCCGTCTTCTGTCCTCCCAGGACGTCACCTTTGACGAGTCGGTGCCTTACTACTGTCTCTTCCCCTACCGCACTGCGCCCCTTCCCCCGCCGCCGCTCTTCCTTGCACCAGGTCCTCCCGAGGTAGACCCCCTCCCCCCTCAAGGTCCTGCCCCGTCAGGTGTGTCCCAGGTAGACGCAGTCAAGCCTGTCGAGGTAGCTGTTGACTCTGGTGCTGCTAAAGTTGCTGAGCCTGCGGGTGCCGGGTCTGGGGGTGATGAGACTGGGGTGCTGAGCCTGGGGGTGCGGAGTCTGGGGGTGCTGAGACTGGGGGGTGCTGAGTCTGGGGGTGCTGAGCCTGGGGGTGCTGAGCCTGGGGGTGCGGAGCCTAGAGGTGCGGAGCCTGGGGGTGCCGAGCCTGGGGGCGCTGGGTCTGCTCGTGTGGCCGCCGGCGGTGCTTCGTCGAGGCGGGAGCCACTCTCTCCACAGGAGCTGCGCGAGTGGTTTGCCCGCCGCTGGAGACGTGCTGCTGAGACTAGGGGTGCTGCTGGGGCTATTGGAGTTGGTCCTGCTGGAGCTGCTGGCGGTACGAGTGCTGCTAGAGCTGAAGCTGCTGGGGGTGTTGACGCTGGTGTTTCTACTGACGCTGGTGCGTCTGGGGGTGCTGCTGAGGCTGCTGGTGCTGACGGTCCTACTGGAGTTGGTGCTGCTGGAGCTAGAGCTGCTGGGGGTGTTGGCGGTGGCGGTGCTGCTGGCGCTGGCGCTTCTGAGGGTGCTGGAGTTGGCGCTGTTGGAGCTGGATGTGCTGCTGGCACTGGTGCTGCCGCTGGGGGTACTGGTGCCGTCCTTGCTGGTTCTGCGCGGCCGAGGCCGTACTTCGTTCCGCTCATGGAGCAGGTTCTTGGTCTCCCGCCCTCTCCAGGTCTTGCTCCTCCCTTAGAGTGTTCACAGTCTGTCCAGTCGCAGTCACAGTTACAGCCCGGCTCCCCTCTACCTGCTCCTTCTCCCTACACTGGTCCTACTGGAGGTCTTGCTGAGCATCGTGAGCCTGCGTCTCGTCCTGCGTCGCCTGTTCGTGCTGCTCGCACTAGTGGTCGTACTGCGCGTCCGCGTCCTCCTGCGGTCCCCGGCACACACCAGATGGCGCTGTGTCCTTCCACTGCTCCTCTGCGTGTCCCGTTGCCGTCTCCTCCAGAGTCCTCTCTTCCTACTCTTGCTGACCCGTAGTCTGACTCTCTTCGTGCTGCTAGTCCTTCTATCACGCGTCTCCTAGCTACTGTTGTCACTGACCCTTCCTTTGAGTCCACTGCTGCGTCTGCCCTAGTTGGTGAGCTTGTCGACTTCGCTGCTCGCTGTCGTCTAGACTACGCTGCCAGTCTCGTTGCTGAGTCTGAGTCTGTCTGTCCTCCGTCCGTCGGGGGTGAGTGTGCTCTTGGCACGGACGTCCTTGAGGACAGGCAGGAGGAGTTCCAGTGCTTTGCTGCTGCTTTTGCCCCATCTCGTGTCCACGCTGATTGCCCCTGAGGGAGACCTGGATGCACCAGACATCCGGACTCCTTGTTCGTACGCTGAGGCAATCGATGGTCCCCACTCCTCTCACTGGCAGTCGGCCATGGATGCAGAGATGGCTTCCTGGAAGTCCACAGGCACCTACGTAGACGAGGTTCCCCCACCTGGGGCGAACATCGTCAGTGGCATGTGGATTTTCAGGGTGAAGCGGCCGCCGGGTTCTCCGCCTGTCTTCAAGACGCGTTACGTGGCTCGAGGCTTCAGTCAGCGGCAGGGAGTTGACTACTTTCATACCTTCTCTCCCACCCGGAAGATGACCACTCTTCGGGTGCTGCTTCACATAGCTGCTCAGCGGGACTACGAGCTTTACTCTCTTGACTTCAGCACAGCTTTTCTGCAGGGCAGCATGCACGAGGAGATCTCGCTGCGCCGCCCTCCTTGCTTCACTGGGTCGTTTCCTCCTGGTACCCAGTGGAGCCTCCGGCGGCCAGTCTACGGTCTCCGCCAGGCGCCCCGTGAGTGGCACGACACACTGAGGACTACACTTGCGGCTCTTGGGTTTGCTCCTTCTACAGCCGACCCGTCGCTGTTTCTGCGCACCGACACCTCTCTGCCGCCGTTCTACATCCTCGTGTACGTCGACGACTTGGTCTTTGCCACAGCTGACACTGCTGGACTCGCCGACCTGAAGTCCGAGCTGCAGAAGAGACACATGTGCACAGATCTGGGTGAACTGCGCAGCTACCTTGGCTTGCAGATCACCCGGGACAGAGCACAGCGCACCATTACCCTGACTCAGTCACACATGGTGCAGCAGGTCCTTCAGCGCTTCGGCTTCACGTACTCCTCGCCTCAGGCCACTCCTCTGTCTACTCAACACTCACTCTCAGCTCTGCCTTCGGATGAGTCCGTAGAGCCGAGTGGCCCGTACCCAGAGCTTGTTGACTGCCTCATGTACCTGACGACCTGACCTTGCGTGCCCTCTTAGCATCTTGGCACCCTATGTTGCTCCTGGGAGACACCGACCAGAGCACATGGCTGCAGGAAAAAGGGTGTTGCGCTACGTGTGCAGTACGTCGGGCATGGGGCTAGTGCTTAGAGGGCTAGTACTCGTACCCAACTCTTTCATAGTTCATCCATTCTCTCGTTCTCATCTTCACATTGCGAACATCATCAGTCATCGGGGCTCACGAATGAAGAGCGTCCGTTGAACTTTCTGCACATGGGCGGATCCTTTCGCGTTTTGGTTGTAGAGGCGCTCGTTCCGAGCGTTTTCTCCCGCCGGGACACGTGGCTCCGCTTGTCTGGGCCTAAAACCAAGCCAGCAAGGGCGTGGGAGGATTACGAGCATCATCGGTCATCGGCGCTCGCGAATGAAGAGCGCCCGCTGCACTTCCTGCACATATGCAGATCCTTCTGCGTTTTGCGGGAGGAAGCGTTCGTTCTGAGCGTTTTTTCTCCCGCCGGGTCAAATGGATGCGCTTGTCTGGACCTATTACCAAACCACCAAGGGCGTAGGAGGGTTGCGAGCATCATCGGTCATCGGCGCTCGCGAATGAAGACCGCTCGCTGCACTTCTTGCACATTTGCGGATCCTTCCGCATTTTGGGGCTAGATGCGCCCGTTCTTGGCGTTTTTCTTCCGCCAGGGGTCTTAAGAAAAAAAGAATAAAAAAAGAAAACAAAACACACACATACATACATTCACACACACACACACACACACACACACACACACACACACACATTCACACACACACACACACACACACACACACACACACACACACACACACACACACACACACACACACACACACACACACACACACACACACACACACACACACACACACACACACACACACACACACACACCCACACACACACACACACGCACGCACGCACGCACGCACGCACGCACGCACGCACGCACGCACACACGCACGCACGCACACACGCACACACACACGCACGCACACACACACACACCAATTTCAACACCGCCTCGACGATTCCAACTGAGTGTTTGTCTGCCTGTCGAGCAGCGCCATTGGTTTGTTCATTTGCAGCGGACGTCCCACGACCTTACCAAAAGCTGATAGCATTCAAGGTGTATGCATCTCTACATCAAACATCAAACATTTTCACCCTTTTAAAAATGTTGGGAAGTCAATGTTTCAATTTAATCTGGTGGCAGACCACCCCGCTTGGTGGGCCAGAGACGGGACGTGCTGGGCTGGGGAATATTGCCAGTTCGATTGAGGCAGTTCAGTTCTGTCAAGCTGTGGTTGTAAAAATGATCTCAAGCTCTGGGTCTTTCATGGGCGCTTCAACGGCGCCAGCTTCACCGCTTGGCGGGTCCGCTGAAAGCGCATGACGCCGTTTTCGCTTATCTTTACGGGAATCTCATTCGATAGCTGACAGCCTCGCCTAGGGCCGACGGCGTTCTCAGCTCTTCCGATGGAGTTTCTGAAATTGTCATGACATTGCCCGTGAAAGACGGAGCCAGCAAGCTGTAGAGTTCTCGTGCAATATGCGGTAAGACTTCCTATGAGCTCATGCTCTTGCCGCTTGATCATGTATCGCTGCCGACGATTTGTTTTTTTACTTCCGTTAACTTCCTGCATTTCATCGTGCGCAATTAAGCCGGCGATCACGAGGCATTCGTGCCGTTGAAGTGCATCGTGACTATGCTGCACGTAGATGAAACCAGATGGGTATGTCTGCTCGCGTGTAGGCCCTCTCGCAGGGCCTCTGTCATTGGTGGGCCTGGAATCCCCATAAATTCCATTCGTCGGAAAACGCGAACGCGCTCGTTGCTACCTGCAAAGGTAGTTGTTTTCTGTCACAGCATCTCATCCTCTTGCACTCTCTCCATTCCGCAGGTTGACTGGCATCTACGATAATGAAGACGGAGCTCCAAGTACTGAAGCTTGATGCTGTTGATGAAGCATTGATATGGTTTTCTTGGAACACAGGGTTCTTGAGGTGATGCTGAGATAGACATGCTATTACTCTATTTGTGGAGCTTGTGTTTCCGAAGTAGTTCCAGAAGGCTCTCCCAACAGCAAGCCAGCCAGCATCGCTCATGCGTGAAATGCTTGTAGAAATTAATATTTTAAACATGTTGTAAGGTCCATTTTTTTATTATCAGAACATGACTATTCCACGGCTGGGTAGTGCAGAGGTTTGTGTTGAGATGTTCATATCATCGTGAAAATATTGTATTAGAGTATTGTACTCCTGCCCACCGAGAATCTTGGTACTTAGCTCCGTTGGGCAACTGGTGCCAGGGACTCGTGTCAGAGGTCTAGTAGTCAAAACCGTGGCGAAGATTCAGTTGCTTGCCGCACATTCCCAAGGGCTAGAAATCAGATGCGCTCCTCCTTTTCGCTTGTAGTTCCTGATATGAGCGCGGCTGGTCGAGGCGGCAGAGGGGACTTGGAAGCGGGGCCTGAACCAGCCACGGATTCGGGTCTCGCTTCGGGATTCTCGTCAACCGGAGGGTGGTCGGTGCCGTCCGCCGTCGATATGCGATGGGTAGGCTGCTATGCTAGCAGTCGCATAGACTGATTAGTGTTACCCGCGCTTATTGCAGCTCAGCGGTTCAGGCTTCGTGCTAGTCGTGATTGCGTCTTACGGCGAAGGCTAGACTTTATTCGTTCAGAGTCTCCAGGCTTGAAACGCGGAAAGGCAAATGTAGCGCCAGCTCCTGCGCGACCCTTTCGCCGTTTTCTACTCCGTCCCGTGCCGTCCTGTCCGCTGGTCGGTCCAGTCCTGCCCGTGTTAAATTGTGTTTCCATGCGAAGACAACTCGCGCTCCTTGTGTTTATCACATGTCACGCGTTGCTTGTGTTCGCTTCTATCTGAACGCCAGATTCAAGGCACGCCATTTCTCCGCAAGGGTCTTACATGTGTCGTCCGTATTTCAAACCTCCCATGCTGTCCATGCTGCAGAGAGCACCAGGCGGCCAATCGTCAGGTTCCAGTAACGGGGGCTTCACTGGAACGAGCGGGCTGTCGATTCAGTCCGGTGGTGCACCACCATCCACCCAATCCGGCTTCCCGTTCTCACAGCCGCAGTCCGTCGGCCTCTCAGGATCAGGAGGCCAGGCATCCGTTGCAGCGCGGGAGCTGATTGTCAATGTCCAACCGCTCGTCTTCATTCTCACCCGTAAGCAGCCCAGAGGTTCTTGTCCTTGTGAACAATGAAGATCGGTTTGTCTGACACCCAGTGTTCAGCCTCTGGCGCATTGACTCACTCCTCTCTCGTCCTGCCCTCCCCTACGTGCTCTCTTTTCCCTGCTCTGTGTTCCCTGCTCTCTGTGTCCTGCTCTCTCCTTCCTGTTCTCTGTTGTTTGCCCGCCAATGTACAGTCATGTTTCTCCTTATGCTGCTCAGCTTCCCTCAGGCTTCAGAGTTTCTGGTACGTCATTTCCAACCCCTCCTTGCCTGTCACACCACATTGTGAGCACTTGGACCAGTGCGTAAGGCGTTCCAGTCTCTACTTTGGTATCTTCCTGGTTGCTGCTTATGCAAGCAAATCAACATTTACCTGCATTCATCGCTTTCTCTGCACTGCATACACATCGCTCCTTTCTTCCCTCCCCTCACCTTCCACACGTCCCCACTTCCCATCAGCTGTGGGTGTTCATCGGAGCGTTTGTAGCAGCCATGCTGCGAGGCCTTTCCCTCTACCGCCATCTAGCCAACCAAGCGAGAGCCCAGCGTGCCTTTGCCCGCCTCCTCGGCCTCCCCCCTTCCTCCACCTCCTTCCTCCTCTCCAATCCATCTGCACTCGCCTCCCCTTTCCCCCCCTTTGGGCCGCCGTTCTCGAGTCTTCCCTTCCAGCCTGCAAGGGGTGCAGCAGTCCCACTCTCCGACCTCCCCTCCTTCCCCTCTCTCTCCCCTTTCCCCGCCTTTCCCTCGTCCCTCTCCCCTTCCATCACCCCGTCCTCCTCGTCCGGAAATCTTAGCCAATCCACGTCAGCAGCGGCCAGATCAGCATCGGCTTTAGCTGGAGCTGAGTCAGCACGAGATGGAGCAGCAGCATCTGCTTCCGCTGCCCAACGTATGCACGTGCAGCAGCCACAGGCACAGGCACTATCAGAGCTCGGTGGGGAGTGGTTTGGAGTGGGGGAGAGGGGTGGAAGAATGGAGGACGGGTCGTTGCTTGCTGCAAGAATAGGCTCTTTGGTTCGAGCACAATTTGGGCAGCAAGGTGTTTCTCGACAGCAGCAGCTGCAACAGCGGCAACAGCAGCAAGGGCAGCAGGGGCAGCAGGAGGGGGATCGCATGTGGTTGGAGCACCAGGCGCAGCTGCGGCGGTTACAACAGCACCTGGGGTTACAGCTGGCTCTCATGCACAGGGAGCTGCAGGCGTCAGGTGGGCAAGAGGTTTTTAATCGATCCTGCATCGGATAGTGGTAGGGGTTGCCGTGTTCTTGTCTCTCCCCTCCCACGCGTCCCCATGATCCACGTGTTTGCACCTGGGGTTACAGCTGGCGCTCATGCACAGGGAGCTGCAGGCATCAGGTGAGAGAGAGGCTTCAAGCCCAACGCCCAAGCCCAATGCCCAAGCCCAATGCCCAAACCCAACGCCCAAGCCCAACGCCCAAGCCCAACGCCCAAGCCCAACGCCCAAGCCCAACGCCCAAGCCCAACGCCCAAGCCCAACGCCCAAGCCCAACGCCCAAGCCCAACCAGCGCCCAATCCCAACGCCCAAGCCCAACGCCCAAGCTCAACGCCCAAGCCCAACGCCCAAGCAAACGCCCAAGCCCAACGCCCAAGCCCCACGCCCAAGCCAACGCCACGCCCAAGCCCAACCCAGCGCCCAAGCCAACGCCCAAGCCCAACGCCCAAGCTCAACGCCCAAGCCCAACGCCCAAGCCAAACGCCCAAGCCCAACGCCCAAGCCCAACGCCCAAGCCCAACGCCCAAGCCCAACGCCCAAGCCCAACGCCCAAGCCCAACGCCCAAGCCCACGCCCAAGCCCAAGCCACGCCCAAGCCCAACGCCCAAGCCCAACGCCCAAGCCCCAACGCCCAAGCCCAACGCCCAAGCCCAACGCCCAAGCCCAACGCCCAAGCCCAACCCAGCGCCCAAGCCCAACGCCCAAGCCAACGCCCAAGCTCAACGCCCAAGCCCAACGCCCAAGCCAAACGCCCAAGCCCAACGCCCAAGCCCAACGCCCAAGCCCAACGCCCAAGCCCAACGCCCAAGCCCAACGCCCAAGCCCAACGCCCAAGCCCACGCCCAAGCCCACGCCCCAAGCCCAACGCCCAAGCCCAACGCCCAATCCCAACGCCCAATCCCAACGCCCAAGTTCAACGCCCAAGCCCAACCCAACGCCCAAGCACAACCCAACGCCCAAGCACAACCCAACGCCCAAGCTCAACGCCCAAGCCCAACGCCCAAGCCCAACGCCCAAGCCCAACGCCCAAGCCCAACGCCCAAGCCCACGCCCAAGCCCAACGTCCAAGCCCAACGCCCAAGCCCAACGCCCAATCCCAACGCCCAAGCCCAACGCCCAAGCCCAACGCCCAAGCTCAACCCAACGCCCAAGCCCAACGCCCAAGCCCAACGCCCAAGCCCAACGCCCAAGCCCAACGCCCAAGCCCAACGCCCAAACCCAACGCCCAAGCCCAATGCCCAAGCCCAACGCCCAAGCCCAACGCCCAATCCCAACGCCCAAGCCCAACGCCCAAGCCAAACGCCCAAGCCCAACGCCCAAGCCCAACCCAACGCCCAAGCCCAACGCCCAAGCCCAACGCCCAAGCCCAACGCCCAAGCCCAACGCCCAAGCCCAACGCCGTGTGTTCATCTGGGGTTACAGCTTGTGCTCATGCACCTATAGCTGCAGGCGTCAGGTGGACGACAGGCTTCAAGCGGATTTCTCACCTCCGCTTGAGCTCTGATTTGGTGAATTAGTTCCCACACTTCGTTGCCACGTGCTTGTCTCAGCCCAGGAGTCATTAGTTTCCCTGTGTGTCCCCCTTTCTGCCTGCTCCGTTCCAGACTATGATCTGCTGCGTGCACTGGATGCGGACAACACTCCATCTGTCCCTGCCCTGAGCGATGTCGAGATTGCTCGCTTGCCTGCTTTCCCATACAAGCCAAAGAGGTATGTGGTTTGCTCACTGCCTGATCAATGAAACGAGCCATCAAGACCTCCTACTGGTAGGGCGTTTGGCACCGCTGATGCATCCTCAGCCATTCCCTGCACCATGGTGCCGGGCATTGCCGTGACTATCCATTTGCAATGTTTTCCCTTGTCCCTCGTGTAAAATCTTGTAGCGGCGATGGATTTGCTCTGATTGCAGTCAAGCTGCCCTGCTGCTGGGTCAATTTCACCAAATAATCTCAGTGTGCCTTCAGTAACGCCTCCATGCGTGTCCTGTTTTCTTGCTACACCAGGAGTCGATCAGGTGCATACAAGTCACGGCCCGCTTCCTCTTTGCCGTCATTATCATCGCCATCTATACAAGGAGCAGCAGGATCAGCAGCACCAGCTGCATCAGATGCATTGGCAGCAGCAGCAGCAGCAGCAACAGGCAGTGCAGCATCATGCAATCCGGTGTCAAGCCAGCAGGGGAAGGAGGGAGATGAGAGCAGAAGCGGCAGTGAGCAGTGTACAGTGTGTCTGGAGCCTTTCCAGGAAGGCGAGATGGTTCGTCTGCTACCATGCCTACACCAGGTGTGTCACTTCACCGATCCGCCCTGAAGTAAAGCGTGCAGTGAGATGCACTGAAACCATTGCATTTTGGATGCATGAAATCACAGCAATGTGTCTTCCTCTCTGTTCCCCTCCCTTTGCTTTTGCCAGTTCCATTCGCAGTGTATTGATCAGTGGCTACAATGCCAAGCCAACTGCCCTATTTGCAAGCACCAGCTTGTGCTGTCATGAGACGATTCCTAGTGTGTGCTAGTAATATATTGCAAGGACACTGATATATGCGCAGCAGTTTGTTGTGTTCTCCCCCCCCACTAGTCCCACCGTATGTTTACTGCATCGTTTCCACTGTTCCCTTCTCCAAAATTTAGATAGGTGTCGCTTCTAGAGTAACAAGTTTGCGGTATCAAATTTATGATATCCAGAAAGGGATAAATCACAGTTGTTGTACCCAATCACCCTTGGCCCAATCATCCATGGTAGGGGGGACCTCTTGTGGTGTCCACATGCCATTCCGGGCTGGGAGCCTGGGAGTACCCCCGGTTATGGGATGTCCGCCATGTGCATCACATTTCATGCATCATGCATGTACTGTACAACAATCACCCCGGCCTGGTGTGGTGGTGTGGTTTGCAGCAGGGGGACATAGGGGGTACTGTACGGTGCGGACAAGTCACCCGCCGCAATTGACTGGGTGATATCTCGCTATTAGCCAATGAAACTCACGATTCACATGGTCACACACGAGGCTGCTCTGCTTTTGACCTGGACTGTCTGCCAACGAAGCAGGACAGCACTTCTGCGGCTCGCCACGCGTAACCTTTTATCCAATCAAATATCCTTCTCCAACTCCGCTCCGCTTCCCCCGGACTTCCCTCCCCATTTCAGTCAACCCCTCGTTCGTTTCGCATCCTGCGCTCCCCCAGCCCAAACCAACCCCAAGGTCCCTGGAGATGCCATTGTGCCAAATTCCATTCCAAGAAAAGCTCCACATTTTGACAGTTCAGGCATTCACGCATTGGTCGGTTTCGCTGACCTTCCTATTCACCCTTTGACATTCGCTTCTTGTTTTGAGCCAGGCTCCCTTGTGTCTTCTTCTCATCTCGTCTATCAAACTCGCTTCGAGAAACTACGACTCGGAGGGAGGTAAAGAAAGTCGGACGTCAGACCATTTTTCTGGAGTTTCGACGACTTCGCGACCATGGCTTCCAGCGAGAAGGTTCTGCGAACGGACACAATGAACGAGAATGTGCTCAAGACGGTGTACGCCGTCCGCGGCGAGCTCTATCTGCGAGCCGCGCAGCTTCAAGCCGAAGGCAAGGAGGTACGCGAATGACATTGAAGTTGAATCCGTGCGAATTGTCACTCAGCCTTACAGTATAGTTCACCCCATGATGTCTCTATCAACATGCATGTTCCTCCTTGCCGACAATGCTGACACCTGAAGCATGATGTTAACATCATGCATGTTATTGATTTGTTTTCCCGTCCGAGTTCCTTGCTTTCGTGCAACTGCAGATCATCTTCACGAACGTCGGCAACCCGCATTCTCTCGGCCAGAAGCCGATGACTTTCCCTCGCCTCGTGAGTCCCCTTCCATTTTCCACGCGTTCTTGTTACCAAATCTCCACTGTTCGGCCTTAACTCTTCTCGTCATTACAGATGCCTACATTCTGTCTACCATCATTCCGACGGAGCTTTGAAATATCAATTTCCGTCGTCGGTTCTATCAAGTTCTAAACGCCTGAAATGTGCGACTTTTCTCCTCATCGTCATCCCCAAGGTCCTCGCTCTCGCGGAGGCGCCCTTCCTGATGGAAAACCCCGAGACCGCCAAGCTCTTTCCAGCGGACGCCATTGCTCGCGCTAAGAAGTACCTCTCCTTCACCACAGGCGGAATCGGTGAGTCGAGTTTCGACACGCGTAAAAAACGCAGAGTGTTTGGAGAGGCCAACAGAAAGGCGGAATGCGTGTCTGGATAACGCGGTCAAGTTCCGAAGCGCTTCAAATAATCACTTGCCAGGCCATTAAGTTCCAAGAAGGCTACTAGAAGCTTGTCCAATGCAAGATCTGCTGGCATTGCCATTTGCTCAACAGCTGTTAATAGGATTCTGTTCACATTAGGAGAAGCGTCTCCACTTCATAAATCTCGTGTTTTTCTCACCATCTTGAGGATGTCCACATATCCACATTTCCACCTTCCCTGTTTTTGCGCGTTTCCTTCCCCTACTGGCTCCCCTCTCAGGCGCGTACAGCGACTCCCGCGGACTGGCGGGCATCCGCAAGGAGGTGGCGGAGTTCATCGCCAAGCGGGACGGCTTTCCCTCGTGAGTGCATTCCGCTGCTGTAGGGAAGGGGAGCGAGACTGAGAATGGCACTAAACGAGACTGGGACTAATACGGAGGCTGACAGAGATCTGGAGTCTATAATACGAGCGTTGCTTAAAACATGCTTTCCTTTGTTCGAAATGGGGAAACTGCCAATCTTCTTTCTTTCTTCTCTTACTACCTTCAGTTTCGTCCCTCTCCTCATCTTCCATCGCTCATCTCTCCACTGCTTCGTCTCCCTCCGCTTCGTCCCCTCCCCTCTCTCCCTGCTGACCACATGCCAACTGGGTGCAGCGACCCCGATAAGATCTACCTCACGGACGGCGCCAGCAAGGGAGTGGAGCGCATGCTCAACGTGCTCATCCGCAACGAGAAGGACGGGGTGAGTATCAAAAGAACCGGCGCATTTTCCTCAGCGCTCATTCGCATTCGACGCAACGCTCTCGGTCGCGCGATGCTCCCTTCTAAGTATCTCCCCGCACTCATCTCCCTGCACCGCTTCCTACGCCCTTCTGTTTTCCGCCTCCCTTTCCCCCACCCCCTGCCCGCCGTCTTCCCCCCATCCCCAGATCCTGTGCCCCATCCCGCAGTACCCGCTGTACTCCGCGTCGATCGCGCTGCTGGGCGGCACGCTGGTGCCGTACTACCTGGACGAGAGCCAGGGCTGGGGGCTGGACATGGCGGAGCTCAAGCAGTCGTGCGAGGACGCGCGCCAGAAGGGCACCGAGGTGCGTGTGGGTCTGTGGTGGATTACGCTTGGGTTTTGGCTGATGAGGGAAGGTGGTTTGGTCGGGGAGGGGTGGTGGGCTGGACGGAAATTCGCTGCGACATGGATGTCCTCTTCCCTCCTCCCTCCGCACTTCCACAAAAGCCCTTTCTTCTATCCTCCCCCTCGTACCCACCCTCCCTTTCCCGTCACCCATCCCGGCGGGCAGGTGCGGTGCCTGGTGTTCATCAACCCCGGCAACCCCACGGGCAACTGCCTGTCGGAGGAGAACCTCAAGGAGCTCGTCAAGTTCTGCGTCGACGAGCGCCTCGTGCTGCTGGCCGACGAGGTGTACCAGGAGAACGTGTACCAGGACGAGCGCCCCTTCCTCAGCGCCAAGAAGGTACGACGAGGGTTTGAAGTGGCACGTGCTGTGAATTTCGGGTTAGAGCGTTGGCAGGAGAGGCTTGTGCTGTCTTGGAGGGTGAAAACGTGTACTGGAAACGGAGTTCCAGTGGGAGAGGCGTTCCTCAATTCTGAGGAGGGGGATTTGAACGCATGCTGTGAGGCACCTCAAGCGAAGGTAGTAGATACGACGTGGCCTCTTGTCCCGTCCTCCCCGAAGCTCCTGCTCTACTCACGCGGATCCGAGTGTTGGAGTGTGTAGGTATCGATTCGTGAGCCCACTCCCACCCCCCCTCGTCCCCCTTCACCCCCGCACTCCAGGTGGCGATGAGCATGGGCGAGCCGTACGCGTCCTCACTGGAGCTCGTGTCCTTCCACACTGTCTCCAAGGGCACGTTTGGGGAGTGCGGGCAGCGCGGCGGGTACATGGAGGTCTTCAACATCGATGAGGGCGTGAGTATGGGAGGAGATCTCTGTCATCATTAAAACTTCTAAAGAAGACGGTGTGATGACCTGAACGTGTTTCTCTTGCCTTCAGTTACTTCTATAGTTGTGCTACTTTCTATTCAAATCCCCACATACTCACAACTCCATACTTACATCCCCGTGTGTGTGTGTGCGCGCGCCACAACAGGTGTGCCAAGAGCTCTACAAGATGTCATCCATCAGCCTCTGCCCCAACCTGTGCGGCCAGCTCATGGTCAGTCAGTCCGACGCTTTCTGGTCAGTTCAATGGCAGTCAATATCTTATGCATTCTCCCGGCCTCTGATCTGAAGCTAAAGTTCATTTTTGTTTGCTTTGTTGCTTCCTCCTTTTCGGCATTGTCTTCAGGTGGGCCTCATGGTGAACCCCCCAGCTCCTGGTGATGCTTCGTACGAGGAATTCACAGAGGAGAGGTGAGGAGCTGAGGGGTAAAGTAGAGAGAGTTGAGAGATGAGGCTCCTTAGCTTGAGGGCTGGGACGGTATTAGTCTAGATGTAACGAGCTATTTACACTGAGATTATAACACATGGACGGTGGGGGATGTGCAACGTGAGCATGGTACAGAAGCATTTGCCTTGAATAGTGTCAGCAACGTGAATTCAATGTCAATGCGCTTGCTCATAATTCTTCCTTTACCTTTTGTCACATGTGCTGCGTGTGTGGTGTGTATGGTGGTGTTTGGGGTTGGGCTTGGGTCAACAGGAGCTCACGCCTGGCCTCTCTGCGTCGCCGAGCGCACACAGTCACAGAGGGATTCAACAGCTGCAAGAACGTCACCTGCAACTTCACAGAAGGTGCGGGGGGGACAGGGATGGCTGACACCGCAATGACTCGCACCACGCTACTAGATATGTTCTGCCCGACGTTTCTTTTTATATCTGCTGCCAGCTGAGAACTTAGGCTGCAGCCAGGGCGCTTGAAGTTCACACTGCTCATCAACGATCCATTGCCTCACCCCTCATTACTTCCCTGTATCCCTTTCCCAGGATCAACCTGCCCAAGAAGGCCCTGGAGGCCGCTGAGGCAGCGGCCTGAAGTTCACAGCGTCCATTAACAATCCATTGCCTCTCTTCTCTCTCCCATCCTCGCATACCCCACCTGCCAGGCGCCATGTATTCCTTCCCCAGGATCAACCTGCCTGAGAAGGCCCTGGAGGCCGCCAAGGCAGCAGGCAAGGCGGCGGATGTGTTCTACTGCCTGCGGCTGCTGGAGGTCACAGGCATCACTGCCGTGCCGGGATCTGGTTTCGGGCAGAAGGAAGGGTGAGTGGTGTATGTTGAGACGGGGTGTCATGTGAAATGTGCTTTGATGCCACGTTGTGGCTGCAGCTGCTGGTGGCCACAGGCATCACTGCTGTGCCGGGACCTGGTTTCGGGCAGAAGGAAGGGTGAGTGTATGTGCCGAAGGTAGTGTGTTGCATGGAAGGAAGGGCGGGGTGCGTTGGATGTGCTGTGGCTGCTAAGGCGATTGGTGAATAGCATTAGAAGGATGCTCATGGCTGCTGGAGATTGAGGTCATGAGTGCTACCGTATGTTGGGATAAGGTCCAGGTATAGGCAAGGTTGTGGAATAGGATAGTCCATCTGAAGAGAAGTTCATGCAACCAATCTGTATGCATCAGGCGATTCCATGCCTCTCCATTGTGTTTCATTTCGCCCCATTGTCTACTAACCATACCAGCCCCTACTCATCTGTTGTTTATGTTTGATCTTCCCACTTTTCAGGACCTTCCATCTGCGCACAACCATTTTGCCTAGTGAAGAGAAGATCCCAGAGATGATGGCCAAATTCAAGAAGTTCAATGACGAGTTTATGGACGAATATGCATGATGCTTAGCATTTGCTCGCGCTATATTGTTTCTTTTCTGAAGCTAGTGTTCTTTTCTACTGTGAACGTGCTTTGAAATAGTGGTTATTTGCAATTTGTTTCATTATTGGAACACCCGCGGCATAGAGAAGCACGCATTATCCGAAACTCGCACACGTATACCCGTAACAAGTACCCTCAGCTAGTTCATCCCAGAATCGCAGGAAATCATCGCCAACCAGTTCAGGCGCCTTTTGACTAGAACAATCTCGCCTTCTCTGCTGGCGTAGCTACACCACTCCGCGCAAGTTAGAGCATCTTTGATGCAAAACACGGTCATGGCTTCTCTAACAGCCGTGGGGAGCGAGGTGCTCGTTAGCTCTTTCAGACCCCTCCCTCAGACTGGGGCCGCTGTCGGTCGCGCTGCGTCCCGTCCCTTCAGCTCTGCGTTTTCCACACGTTGCTCGTTCCAAAGCCGAAACCCTAATGCGAGGCGAGGAGCTTCCGCGGTTAGGAGAGCTCTAAGCGGGGGTCCGAACCGCAACCGCGACGAGAAGAATGATCCGGGGAAAGTGATCGAGTTTTCAGGGTCTGACGATAGCGACGCGGAAGCAGCGACCAAGGAAAAATCCACGGGTCAGTTGGACGACATTGGCGCGGAGCTAGCTCGCCTTAGGCAGGAACGCGCGGCAGCGGAAACAGCGGCGAAAGCTGATGAAGGAATCGGCGGATTTTGGCGTGGCGTGATGGAAGAGACGCAGATGATTCAATGGCCGGCTTTCACGTCGGTCTTAGGAACGACTGGTGTGGTGGTTGTCGTCATCGTTTCCTCCGCTGTCGTCCTGCTGACCGTCAATGCTCTGCTAGCCAACTTCTCAGACGCTCTTTTTGAATTGCCAGCAGTCAGGGAGGTCTGGCACCTGTAAGCTCTGTTGCTTCCACGTCCAAGGAAGCCATTTAGGAGGTTCGCCTAGTTTGTTCGTTCTTGATGAGATGACAGCCACGTGCAATGGTTATCATTGTAGCTGAAGATGAATGTGCCACAAGCAAGTGTGAAGCAGGCTACGCTTGGGTTGGCTAGTTAACTGACAGCATTTGAAGTTTGTTTTTTACCCGAGGACAACCGGATGAACCAATATATTTCCTTTTGTTTTAATAGTACCAGGCAAGACGATCAAAATCTGTGACATCAGAGTTTGTGAGACTTTGTGCATTATTGCTTGTGTGTTTGATGTAACGGGTCTCTGCTTATCGAAGTAGGTCTGGTTTAGGTGATGTTGTGTCCACGATTCTCAAGGGCGCTGACGTGGCAATAGCTGGTATGTCGTGCTCAATCCACATCCTGTTAGTTCAGCGTTCTGCCAGCATTGCCCTATTCGTTGTCAGCCACCACCGTAACATAATGTTACGCGAATGTTCGTGATCATCAGTGAATGGTACAGATGCGACCAGCGAGCCCTGTAACTGTTTTCCAAGCTTTACCAGTTCTCGTCGTTTCTCGCAATAATTCGCGTAAAGGAATCCTCATTACCTCTCAACCAATCCTTCCCCCCAGACTAACTTCCCAAGCCCACCACCCCGTTTCTTCCACTCACTCACTCCCCTTACGGAAGCAATTTCTCCCTCTCACATGCTTTCTAGGGTTTCGCAAAGCCCTTCTTTTTACACCTAGGCTCTGCATCATTGCCTTGGTTCCGTCCGGCGTAGGGAGAGTAGGAGGCACTGCACAGGCGTCCGTGTTCCCGCTTAGCCTCTCGCTTTGCGTCGCTCCTTGGATTTAAACGATACTATGGCCCACGCTATGGCTTCCGTGTCGGGAGCAGCTCTCTCCTTTGAGAAGCTCTCACTTACCACCTCCTCCTCCCTCTCCATGTCCCGCTCCTCCTTCGTCTCCTCTCCCGCTCTCGTAGCCTGCCGGCCAGTCGCTCTCTCCGCGAAATGCGGCCCGTCGTTCCCGGTGGTGTCGGCGCAGGCCGTAGCGGATGTCGCGGCGCCTGCTGCGGAGTCGTCGCGGCCGACCGGGCTTTTGTCCGGATCGGACCCCGCGTGGAAGCTGGGGGACAGCAGATAAGGCGCGTCTTAAGACGTACTATGAGACCGCCGTGGTTCCCGCTATGCTCGCAGAGTTCGGTTATGCGAACCCCCAGGAGGTGCCACGTGTCGAGAAGGTGGTGGTCAACTGCGGCATTGGCGACGCGTCGCAGAGCGCTAAGGTGCGTCGCAGAGCATGAATGTGCGTCGCGAGTCGAACGTGCGTTGTACTAAGGCGCGGCGCTCTTAATTAGTCATACACCGTCTAGAGACCCGAAGACTGTAGTTCCTGGGGATAGAGGGATAGCGCTATTGCGAATTCAATTTTGAGGCTCCCAGACCAGAAATGACTGGCATTGCGTGTAAAAGTGGTTGCGCATTTGGTTTTAATGGGTTGTTTAGGCCGAGTTATGCTCAGGTTCGTGAAGCTAGCGCGGACGAGGCGGGGTGTGGTGTCTGTTGCAGCTTTTGGTTGGAATCGCATGGGGTCGTTAAGACACAGTGCAGCGTCGCATCGCGCCATCGCAGTAGTCGTACAGGCGTCGCACAACAGAGGTTGCCGAGACCACGATTTCCAATGTATGCGTCGCATCAAAGTCACAAGCTCAGCCACTTCGTAGCTCAGGAGGCGTCTTTCGTGGATACGGCAGAGTAGGGCGGGAACGCAGGTAGAGCAAGGGAGAAGGCGAAGCAGAGGGATCACCTAGACTCGATTGCAAAGGTAATCTTGTAGGACCTAACGGAACGAGAACGAATAACGGTCAGGCCAACTGGTGTGTTGCTGATTAGTCGTCGTCGTCGTCAGAAGCCGCTGCAGCTGCTATCGTTGTCGGCGATGGGAGATGGAGAGTAGAATGTCGTTCGAATCATCTTCGTCATCTTCGTCATGTTCGTCAGGGCTATGGGACATCCGACTCGCGACTCGCCTGAGACACGATAGGGCTACAGCTGAACCTTCCGTTCCTCATGGGAAACGACCCCCGCCGGTCGCGCAGCCTCGAACGAGCCAGCGACTCGAATCGAGAATCACTTTTGAGAATTCTCGAAAGTGATTCCAGTACAGCTGAAGCTGTCTGTTGCCCATGGGCATCTAGGAAACTGCCCCGCCCGTCGATTTTTGAGGCGCCTCAAAAGCCGTCGTTCATGGGAAACTACCCCGCCGGTCGCGCAGCCTTGAACGAGGCAGCGACTCAAAACTAGATGACTCTTGAGTCGACGCAACGGACGCTTGAGATGAATTTGCCCGCCCCCACCCGCTCGTGCCAGCGGCAGCCTTCCTCGCTGCCAGCCAGAACTCAGCTAGCGTCGCAAGCACAGCGCCGGGAAGCGTGGGTCGAGTTCCCCCCCCATCCCCCCCCCCCATCCCCCCCCCCCCCCCCCCCCCTCCCCCCCCTCCCCCTCCCCCCCCCCTCCCCCTCTCCCCCTCCCCCCTCCCACTCCGCTCCTCCCCCTTCCCCCGCTCCCACCCTCTTCCTCTTTCCCCGCGCAGACCCTTGACAGCGCGGCCAAGGACCTGGCGGCGGTGACGGGGCAGCGGCCCGTCGTGACGCGCGCGCGGAAGGCTATTGCGGGGTTCAAGCTGCGCGCGGGCGTGCCCGTGGGGATGGCGACCACGCTCCGCGGACAGGTAGGGCGCGGGGGAAAGGGGTAACGGCGGGGGACTGGGATTAATTGCGGGGGACGCGCGCGCGCGGAAGGCCGTTGTGGGCGTGCGAGCATGCTCATGGGGATGGCGGATATGCTTGTGATAGAATGGAGGTGGAGAGACGGATGGGAGGGCGAAGGGGCCGATTCATTAAGTGGTGAGGAAGAGTGAAGGCGGGGGAGGGAAGAGGAAGTGGTGGAAGGGAGGGAGAAAGGAAACGGAAGGGAGAGGATGGCAGGAGGGAGGAAACAGGTTGAGTGTGATATTGGTGAAAGATGGAGTGACTAAAGTGGCGATGGGAGGGAAGCAACTACAGGGGAAACTGCGTGATGAAAATCCAGGTGGCCCCTCTTCTCCCTCCCCTTCCCGCGTCCCCCATCCCACCCCCTCCTCCCCCCCCCCCGCCCCCACCTCCCCCTATCCCATACGGTACGGCATTACTGAGTCATGCAAACAAGAAAAAAACGTCGTAACAGTTTCTATCGATAGTAAACATCTAGATGATCTGGGATTAAACCTCATCAACCTTGACAGTCACCCCTTTTTGCCCCACACCCCCATCTCCTTCAAATTCTCTCAAATCATGTACACCTATCTGGACCGCCTTATCAACCTTGCCCCCAAACCCCATGCGCAACTGCCACGTCTCCTCAAAACCAGTTTTGCACTCGCACTCTTTTCAGAAACTGCAGTCTGCTCTTCTTGCATTCTCCCCCTTCCATTGGCCCACCCCCACCTTTCTCCCTCTCTCCCTCAGACTATGTACGCATATCACTTCAACCTCACTCTCCCCCCGCATGCGTGACTTTCATATCACCTCTGTAACCACCTCTGCATCTCACTGCTCTCCTTGCATTTTCCATCTCCCTCCCTCTCCCTCTCCCCCTCCCCTCCCCCCTCCATACCCCTCCCTCTCAGATCATGTACGCCTATCTCGATCGTCTCATCAACCTCGCTCTTCCCCGTATGCGCGATTTCCGCGGCGTCTCCCGCGGCGGTTTCGACGGCCGGGGCAACTATTCCATGGGCCTGGCCGAGCAGACCCTGTACCCGGAAATTCGATTCGACGAGATTGACAAGACCCGTGGGATGGACATTTCCATTGTCACCACCGCTAAGACTGACGGGGAGGCGCAGAGGCTGTTGGAGTTGCTTGGAGTCCCGTTTAGGGAGGGGCCGGTTCCGGTTAAGGAGGCGAAGAGCAAGGGGAAGGGGCGGGGGCGTGGGCGTGGCGGTAAGCAGCAGCAGAAGAGCAAGAAGAGGTAGAGGGTTGTGGTTCGGTTCGGACTGTGATCAGTTGTGATGTGACCCAGGAAGGTTTTGTTTGATTTCAATTTGATTTAGCTTAGGAAGTCTTTCTGTTCTTAATGGGAGCTGTAGCAGCATGTCAGCTGTACACGTACATTTAATCTCAATGGTTTCTATGAAGTATACATAAGGTTCCTAAACTGTGTTTTTTATTTTAATTGAGCACTGAGCCGTTATAAATGGTATTAGAATTCAGGGCGCCAATTATGGAACTGTAGCGAATAGTCACTAAAGATTCCCCAGATTTTTCCACGAAGTGCGTTCTTTGTCGCGAAACAGTCGCCCAAGCGGCGGATGGTTTCGAACGCTAGGCATGGCTCGGAGACATCACTATTTTCTCAGACCCCTAACATAGTACAATTGATGCCTGTTTGAGCCCCTCCCGGTTGCCTTGTGAAGGGGGCGTATAAGCTGTATCAAGAGCTTCGCATAAGTTTCGTCAGTTCGCAGCTATCTAAAAAGGATTCGCAGGTGCTTATATTAAGGATCTGTAACCTTATTCGTTGACAATTTGACTTCGGTCTCTTCAGTTTGACTTCAGTCTGTTCGTTATTATTCGTCCATAACCACGCGACGCGCTTGTATCGTGGGTGCATCAGGCTAGGAAAAAGACCTCGGGAGCAGCGTTTCCATCTGGTACAGGGCAAACTTGCGTGCACTGGCTGGGCATCATGTGTACACCAGATCGTAACTTACAGAACCGCAAACAAAGCTGTAAAACCGGCTGAAGAACCACTCTTGAACAGAATGTGCCGCGCCCTGGCAAAGAGTCGCTTTGCTTGTAGCAGCCTGGTGTTACAGCAGGCATGCATGCATGGAGTAACAATTGTCGCCTCGCCACGCCTGCAATTAAGGGAAGGGGGAGGAGGGGCGAACCATCAGATCAAGCAAGAAACCGCCATACTCCACCTGTCTAGTCCACCCGCCCGCCATCACCCCGCTCGCCATCATCCCGCCCGCCATCACCCCGCCCGCCATCACCGCGCCCGCCGTCCCGTTCTTTTTCAAGAGATATTAGTAGGTGTGCTAAGCTGAGCGTGGTTTCTACGCCATTGTTCCGAAGTGAGATTCGGAATCCTCGTGTTACGGCCTTTCTTCGATGTCTGGTGACTAAGGTTGGTTTCCTACTGCTGTGAACCTGTGAAGAAACGGTGCAAGGAAACGGCCGTTCAGACACGTGGCACATTCCTGCTCGTGTAGTCACAGTCGCCACGCGGAGTTTGGCGAGCACGCTATGTCGCTCATGACCTCCGCCTTGTTACATCAGTAACTCCTGAGTCGACTCAGTAGTCACCTCGGTTGCCGCACACGGTTCTTGCTTGCGTGTGCACCCCGCCTTGCCACATCCCCGCTTTGTTTCATCCCTGTGACCAGTCGCCGAGTTCGCATTCGCATTCGCAAGCCGACGAAATAGTGTAACGTCGTCGCGACAGTTGCTGATCATGCCGGAATCCGGTCCTTGCAGTCGAGGTGATGACTCAGCCGGTAACCGCTCCGCGCGGCTGGATTTGAACCTCGAGTATTCCTCGCAGCCCTGTATTGCGGAGCTTAGCGCGGAGCAACGGGCGGAAGGCTGCGCGGGAGCGCGGAGTTCCGCAGAAGGCGGGAATCCCTTGCGGGGAGGGGGGATTTTTCCGCGGCGAGGGGATTTTTGGTTACAGCCGCGGCGGTGGGGGAACCGTCGGCTGAAGATGACACCGCAGGGTCGGGGGAAACACCGGTGGGCGGAGCGGGTGGCGGAGCGGAGGCGGAAGAGTCGGAGGGCGGAGGCGCGGAAGAGCCGGCGGCGCTAGACGACCTCGTCGGAAGGGCGTCGCGCTTTGCGCAGAGACTGGCGCAGCGGAGACTCCAGGCGGCAGGGGAACGCGCAGGGGGAGACGCGCAGGCTGGCGGAAGGGGAAGCGGTGGCGGAAACAGCAGCGGCGGCGCAGGCGCTGGCGGAAGAGAAGGCGCGGACCACACCCGCGCGGGGGGGACGGCGGAGGGAAGCGGGGAAGGCGGAGTAGGGGGAAGCGGGGGGGACAGCGGGGGGGGCTTTCAGGCTATTTTAGCGGCAATAGGGGCGGGTGGGGATGATGAGACCGCAGGGGGGATGGCGACACGGAAAACGAGTGTGATAATAGTGAGGACGAGGATAAAGAGGAGAGTGGTGATACTAGCGAGGATTCTAGCAGTGACGACAGTGATGATTCGGATGGGGAGGAGGGAGAAGGGGAGGACAAAGGGGAGAGCAGCAGTAGCGGAGAGAGCAGTGACGAGAACGACAATAGCGAGGATGACAGTAGCGAGGATGATGGTAACGCGTACGGCAACCAGGCGGGCAGGGGGAGCGAGTTTTGGTTCACGTTCGGCGCGCGGACAGGGATGAGCGACGAAGGGGAGGCGGAGGCGGAGGCGAGGGAAGGGGGCGCGCGGGGGAGGGGGAGCAGGGGCAAGCGGAAGGGGTGGGTGAGTCGGAAGGAGGCTGCGCGCGCGTTCAGGGCGCATCCCGTGGCGCATGCGACGCGCGTATGGTCTTCCGCGCATGGCAAGACCTCCGCGCTCTGCAGGAAACGGCGGAATGGGGGGAGTGGGGGATGCGGGGGATGCGGGGGATGCGGGGGGAGCGGGGGGAGCGGACCGGAGGAAGCGCGGAAACAGGCAGAGATGGGTGCACTGTGGAATTTTGGAGGGACGGGGGAGGGGGAGGGGGAGAGGGGGGAAGGGGAGGCGAAGGGGGAGAAGCGGAAGGGGAAGGGGGAGAAGAGGGGTGCAGAGCGGTGTGACACAGTGAACGTGCACCAGATGCTGCTGTCGCGAGAAGTGAACGTGTCGGTGCGTTTGATCTGATCTTATTTGATTCGATTGAACTCTGGATTCAACTTTCTTCCTGTCGGTGCGTTCCATCTGAATCAACGCTGATTTCAGAAACGTAAGAAAGCCCTCATTCAACTCTGTATTCACGTTTCTCCCTCTTGGTGCCTTCCACATGCCCCCCCCCTTTCGCTCGCCCCAGCATGCATGCATGTGTTGTGAATGAGTCCTTTGTGAGGTCCCCCGTGTTGACTCGTGTAGCCCTAACACACCCCATCCCTTCCTTCCCTACTGACCAATCACAGAAATTCGGTCGGTTTTCAGAGTCAGTCAGGTGCCACCTGGCGCAGTCCTCTCCCCGTGCGATGGCCCCATAGCGAAGGCCATCCTCAGAGAGAGACCCTTCTTTCCCCAACTCACCTCACCCCATCCCATCCCGTCCCGGTCCATACACCAATCGTAGAAATTCGGGCGCTTCTCTGAGTCGGACCGGTGTCACCTGGCGCAGTCCTTCCTGCCATGTGACGGCCCCATGGTGGTGGACAAGGTGGCGTCGCGTGCTTATATTGGCCAGTTCAGCGGGGATGGAGACCTGTTCGTGGCTGGTTTCCAGGTGGGTGATGGGGAGTTCATGTGTGTGATGTGAGCTGCCTATGGGTGTGCTTATGTGATGGCCATCCACAGCACACGTGATGGCCATCCACAGCATGGCCTTCTGGGTCCCATGGTGGTGGACAAGGTGGCATCACGCGCGTATATAGGCCAGTTCAGCGGCGACAGGGATCTGTTCGTGGCTGGCTTTCAGGTGAGTGGGGGAGAAGCGTTTGCTGAATGTTATGTTACAATGTGCCACGTGGTAATAGACGGCACGTGGTGCGAGTCGAGACGGCCCCATGGGGGTGGACAATGTGGCATCGCCATCACGAGTTGAACCGAGTTCTTGTTGGTGGTGGACAATGTCGATACCTCATTCTTCCTTCCACTCCTGAGACGTCACAAAGGTCATCATTTTCTGAACCGATTTCTTATTTGAGTACCTCCTTTCTCCTTACCACTACTACCGCCCCTCAGTTATCCATTGCCCCCGTTGCTTCCCCTTCTCTCGCGCCCGAACCCAATTATCATGCGCACGATCAGGACCGTCGGATTCGCGTGTACGATGTGGATCGAGGGTGGGCGTTAAGGAAGGATGTGATTGCTCGCAACCTGCGATGGACCATCACCGACACTGCACTCTCTCCTGACCAACGATTCCTGGTAAGCCTTTGCCTTACTGGCACCATTTGCCGCGCTGCTGATAGGATACCATTGGCTAACAAGGATGTGATTGCGTTCAACCTGCGATGGGCCGTCACCGACACTGCAATCTCTCCTGACCAACAATTCCTGGTGCGTATCTTGTGTTAACTTGGTTACCGCATGTTGAACATGACGGTTGGACCATCACCGACACAGCTCTATCTCCCAAACGGCTATTCCTCGTAACCCTTGGCTACAGAAATCGCTGAATAGCTTGGGTTGGTAACCCTTACCTCTCCATCCCTGCATGCATGGCTTGAGTGCTTAAACCACGCCTACCCTGGTTCTCACCTCTCTTCTCTCCACTTCCCTTCTCTCCACTTCCCTTCTCTCCACTTCCCTTCTCTCCACTTCCCTTCTCTCCACTTCCCCTCTCTCCTCCTCTTTTCGCTCCGTCCCTCTTCTCTCCTCTTCACTCCGCTTCTTCTCTCTCTTCTTCCTCTCTCTCGTTCCTCTCTGCGTGTCCCCTTTACAGGTGTATGCATCCATCACGCCCATCGTGCATCTGGTGAACGTCGGCTATGGGAGCGGGGAGGTTGAGTCGCTTGCTAATGTCACGGTGAGTCAGCCACGGTCGGAGAAAATGTGTCCATAAGAAACCTCCATTCTTGATAATAATAAAGCCATGTTTTGTGTTTGTTTGTTTCATCCGTTTTTTACATGTTCCTTCCACATGCTTTCTTTCGCTTGTTGTATTTGTTGATATCTTTTGAGTCGACTCAAAAGTCAGCTCGATATCTTTCCGTCATGAGATTCAACTTCTTGCCATGCACTGCACGAGGAGTCGAATGTGGAGTTGAGTTGAGATGCAGAGAGCGCTTTCCACCCCTTTCCATGGTTTTGACATCTGGTTGCCCCAATTCTCATCTCCACCCCTTTCCTCACTCCGCCATCACGGCATACATGAGGAGCGCAACACCGGGAGCGCAGCTTTTGAGTCGACTGCACACTCATCCCCAACCCCTTCCCCTCCCGTTCTCACCCCTCCCCTCATCTCCTCCCCCTTCGCCATCAGGACATTCACGAGGAGCTGAACTTCACAGCAGTGGAATCGAGACGCAGGGAGCGCAGCTTTGGCATCTGGTCGCTCCAATTCTCATCCGACGGTCGGGAGCTCATCGCGGGCAGCAGCGATCGCTCGCTCTATGTCTTTGATCTGGAGAGAAACCAGCCCATTCTTCGAGTGAAGGCCCATCAGGTAGGCTTAAGCTTTTAGGTAAATCCATGTCATAGCGTTACGGGCAGCAGCAGCAGCAATCGCTCGCTCTACGTCTTTGAACCGGAGAGGAACCAACCCATCCTTCGAGTCAAAGCGCACCTGGTAGGCTAGGGGCGCACCTGGTAGGCTAGGGGCGCACCTGGTAGGCTAGGGGCGCACCTGGTAGGCTAGGGGCACACCTGGTAGGCTAGGGGCGCACCTGGTAGGCTAGGGGCGCACCTGGTAGGCTAGGGGCGCACCTGGTAGGCTAGGGGCGCACCTGGTAGGCTAGGGGCGCACCTGGTAGGCTAGGGGCGCACCTGGTAGGCTAGGGGCGCACCTGGTAGGCTAGGGGCGCACCTGGTAGGCTAGGGGCGCACCTGGTAGGCTAGGGGCGCACCTGGTAGGCTAGGGGCGCACCTGGTAGGCTAGGGGCGCACCTGGTAGGCTAGGGGCGCACCTGTAGGCTAGGGGCCCACCTGGTAGGCTAGGGGCGCACCTGGTAGGCTAGGGGCGCACCTGGTAGGCTAGGGGCGCACCTGGTAGGCTAGGGGCGCACCTGGTAGGCTAGGGGCGCACCTGGTAGGCTAGGGGCGCACCTGGTAGGCTAGGGGCGCACCTGGTAGGCTAGGGGCGCACCTGGTAGGCTAGGGGCGCACCTGGTAGGCTAGGGGCGCACCTGGTAGGCTAGGGGCGCACCTGGTGGGGTCATGCTTGCTGATCAGCTCGTCATGGGCAGCAGCGATTGCTCGCTCTACGTCTTCGATTGGGAGAGGAATCAGCCGATTCTCCGCGTGAAGGCACACCAGGTAGGCTAGGGAGACACCTTTTAGGCTCGGGAGACACCTTTTAGGCTCCTGGTTTCAGGTAAATCCAAGTGCCTGCCTCACTGCTTGCGGGTACCAGCAGCGGTCGGTCGCTCTACGTCTTTGACCTGTGCACTGGTCCATCCTCCATCCTCCCTTCTCCCTCCTCCTCCCCACTCCGCTTCTCCAGGACGATGTGAATGCTGTGGCTTTTGCAGACGAGACCTCCCAACTCATCTACTTGGGCAGTGACGATCGCATCTGCAAGGTGTGGGACCGCCGGTTGTTATACAACACCGAGCCCATTGGCCCCCTGCGACTGCTCGACCCTGTTGGGAGCCCGATGGACCGCACCGCACTGGACCGCATTGACTGCCTTTGACCTCAGTGGAACCCCTTCAATCCCCCGTCCCTTCTCACTTCAGGACGATGTGAATGCAGTGGCATTCGCGGACGAGACATCGCAACTCATCTACTCGGGCAGTGACGATCGCATCTGCAAGGTGTGGGACCGCCGCCTGCTTGACAACACCGAGCCCATCGGCCCGTTGCGACTGCTCGACCCTGTTGGACCTCCTCCGTTCAGTCACTCTGCTGGCGGTGCTGCTAGCGCTGCTGGTTCTGCTGCTGCTGCTGCTGCTGGTGCTGGCACTGGTGCTGGTGCTGCTGGTGGTGCTAGTGGTGGTGGTGGCAGTGGTGGTGGGGGGGAGAGGCAGGGAGTGGGGTGTCGGAACAAGCCGGTGGGGGTGCTGGTGGGGCACACAGAGGGTATAACGCATCTGGCTTCTAAAGGGGACGCTAGATGCTTTCTTACCAACGGCAAGGATCAGACGATGAAGCTGTGGGACATCCGAGTCATGATGGACCATGCTGATTACGAAGAGTGAGTTTATAATGTCTATATGTTTCTAGCGAGTCTATATGTTAATACCTACATGTGAGCATGCGTGTGAGAGAGCGATAAATCAGAGGCACCAACAGCAAGGACCAGACGATGAAGTTGTTGTGGGACATCCTCTAACTGTTTCTCATCGCCCTCTCTCTCTTTCTTTGTCTCCCTCTTTTGAACGGTCCTTTTCCTATCTCTGTCACTCTCTCTCTCTCCTTGTCTACGTCTCAAAAGTCTCTTCCTACCTCCCTCCCCCTCCCGTGAAAGAAGGAGTGGTTTGAGACGTCTCAAAACATCTCTGTCACTCACACTCTCTCTCCTTGCCTATGTCCCTGTCTCTGCCTACCTTTGAGACGTCTCAAAACATAAATGTCACTCTCTCTCTCCCTGTCTCTGCCTACCGTTGAGACGTCTCAAAAGTCTCTGCCTACCGTTGAGACGTCTCAAAAGTCTCTGCCTACCGTTGAGACGTCTCAAAAGTCTCTGCCTACCGTTGAGACGTCTCAAAAGTCTCTGCCTACCGTTGAGACGTCTCAAAAGTCTCTGCCTACCGTTGAGGCGTCTCAAAAGTCTCTGCCTACCGTTGAGACGTCTCAAAAGTCTCTGCCTACCGTTGAGGCGTCTCAAAAGTCTCTGCCTACCGTTGAGACGTCTCAAAAGTCTCTGCCTACCGTTGAGACGTCTCAAAAGTCTCTGCCTACCGTTGAGACGTCTCAAAAGTCTCTGCCTACCGTTGAGACGTCTCAAAAGTCTCTGCCTACCGTTGAGACGTCTCAAAAGTCTCTGCCTACCGTTGAGACGTCTCAAAAGTCTCTGCCTACCGTTGAGACGTCTCAAAAGTCTCTGCCTACCGTTGAGACGTCTCAAAAGTCTCTTCCTACCGTTGAGACGTCTCAAAAGTCTCTGCCTACCGTTGAGACGTCTCAAAAGTCTCTGCCTACCGTTGAGACGTCTCAAAAGTCTCTGCCTACCGTTGAGACGTCTCAAAAGTCTCTGCCTACCGTTGAGACGTCTCAAAAGTCTCTGCCTACCGTTGAGACGTCTCAAAAGTCTCTGCCTACCGTTGAGACGTCTCAAAAGTCTCTGCCTACCGTTGAGGCGTCTCAAAAGTCTCTGCCTACCGTTGAGACGTCTCAAAAGTCTCTGCCTACCGTTGAGACGTCTCAAAAGTCTCTGCCTACCGTTGAGACGTCTCAAAAGTCTCTGCCTACCGTTGAGACGTCTCAAAAGTCTCTGCCTACCGTTGAGACGTCTCAAAAGTCTCTGCCTACCGTTGAGACGTCTCAAAAGTCTCTGCCTACCGTTGAGACGTCTCAAAAGTCTCTGCCTACCGTTGAGACGTCTCAAAAGTCTCTTCCTACCGTTGAGACGTCTCAAAAGTCTCTGCCTACCGTTGAGACGTCTCAAAAGTCTCTGCCTACCGTTGAGACGTCTCAAAAGTCTCTGCCTACCGTTGAGACGTCTCAAAAGTCTCTGCCTACCGTTGAGACGTCTCAAAAGTCTCTGCCTACCGTTGAGACGTCTCAAAAGTCTCTGCCTACCGTTGAGACGTCTCAAAAGTCTCTGCCTACCGTTGAGACGTCTCAAAAGTCTCTGCCTACCGTTGAGGCGTCTCAAAAGTCTCTGCCTACCGTTGAGACGTCTCAAAAGTCTCTGCCTACCGTTGAGACGTCTCAAAAGTCTCTTCCTACCGTTGAGACGTCTCAAAAGTCTCTGCCTACCGTTGAGACGTCTCAAAAGTCTCTTCCTACCGTTGAGACGTCTCAAAAGTCTCTGCCTACCGTTGAGACGTCTCAAAAGTCTCTGCCTACCGTTGAGACGTCTCAAAAGTCTCTGCCTACCGTTGAGACGTCTCAAAAGTCTCTTCCTACCGTTGAGACGTCTCAAAAGTCTCTGCCTACCGTTGAGACGTCTCAAAAGTCTCTTCCTACCGTTGAGACGTCTCAAAAGTCTCTGCCTACCGTTGAGACGTCTCAAAAGTCTCTGCCTACCGTTGAGGCGTCTCAAAAGTCTCTTCCTACCGTTGAGACGTCTCAAAAGTCTCTGCCTACCGTTGAGACGTCTCAAAGTCTCTGCCTACCGTTGAGACGTCTCAAAAGTCTCTGCCTACCGTTGAGACGTCTCAAAAGTCTCTGCCTACCGTTGAGACGTCTCAAAAGTCTCTGCCTACCGTTGAGACGTCTCAAAAGTCTCTGCCTACCGTTGAGACGTCTCAAAAGTCTCTGCCTACCGTTGAGACGTCTCAAAGTCTCTGCCTACCGTTGAGGCGTCTCAAAAGTCTCTGCCTACCGTTGAGACGTCTCAAAAGTCTCTGCCTACCGTTGAGACGTCTCAAAGTCTCTTCCTACCGTTGAGACGTCTCAAAAGTCTCTGCCTACCGTTGAGACGTCTCAAAAGTCTCTGCCTACCGTTGAGACGTCTCAAAAGTCTCTGCCTACCGTTGAGACGTCTCAAAAGTCTCTGCCTACCGTTGAGACGTCTCAAAAGTCTCTGCCTACCGTTGAGACGTCTCAAAAGTCTCTGCCTACCGTTGAGACGTCTCAAAAGTCTCTTCCTACCGTTGAGACGTCTCAAAAGTCTCTGCCTACCGTTGAGACGTCTCAAAAGTCTCTGCCTACCGTTGAGACGTCTCAAAAGTCTCTGCCTACCGTTGAGACGTCTCAAAAGTCTCTGCCTACCGTTGAGACGTCTCAAAAGTCTCTGCCTACCGTTGAGACGTCTCAAAAGTCTCTGCCTACCGTTGAGACGTCTCAAAAGTCTCTGCCTACCGTTGAGACGTCTCAAAAGTCCTCTGCCTACCGTTGAGACGTCTCAAAAGTCTCTGCCTACCGTTGAGACGTCTCAAAAGTCTCTGCCTACCGTTGAGACGTCTCAAAAGTCTCTTCCTACCTCCCTCCCCCTCCCCCTGCCAGTCTCCCCCCGCCGCGAATCCCCTTCTTCCAGTGGGACTATCGCTGGATGGACTACCCCGGGGAGGGGAATGAGGGTCGCACACCCCAGCGACCAGTCACTCATGACGTACCGCAACCACCACGTGCTGCACACGCTCATCCGCTGCTCCCCTCCTCCTGTTTGTTTGTGTCTCTGCCTCTGCCTCTGCCTCTGTCTCTGTTCCTGTTTTCCGCCTCTCCCCCCTCCTCTCTCTCTGCAGTCTCCCCCCTCCGCGAATCCCCTTCTTCCAGTGGGACTATCGTTGGATGGACTACCCGGGGAGGGGCATGAGAGTCGCCCATCCCAGCGACCAGTCACTCATGACCTACCGCAACCACCACGTGCTGCAGACGCTCATCCGCTGCTATTTCTCGCCTCTGCACTCCACGGCCCAGCGCTTTGTGTACTCTGGGTCGCATGACGGCGCTGTGTATATCTTTGACCTGGTATGTATGCGCGTGGGAGAGGATAGATAGAGTGGACGGGACCGGGTACAGAAATTGGGCAACACACGACATGCCGCGTGTTACATGGGTGGGTGTGTGACCTGCCATAGGGCTCTGCAGCACTGCTCGCTACCACAACCACCACGTGCTGCAGACGCTCATCCGCTGCTCCTTCTCCCCTCTGCACTCCACGGCTCAACGCTTTGTCTACTCTGGGTCACATGACGGTGCTGTGTATATCTTTGACCTGGTATGTGTGTGGTACAGTGTGGGAGAAGAGAGAGTGGGTAGAACATTCAATCTTGTGCTGACAGGCAAGCAGCTGGCGACGCTGAAGCGCCACGGGTCGACAGTGCGGGACTGCTCCTGGCACCCCACACGGCCATCTCTTGATGTGACTCTGATGTTCTTGCATCTCTGCCTCTTGAGGCGCCTCAAAAGTCTTGATGTGACTCTGATGTCCTTGCATCTCTGCCTCCCTCGCCCCTTCATGCCCCCAGCTGACAGGCAAGCAAGTGGCGAAGCTGAAACACCACGGGTCGACAGTCAGGGATTGCTCCTGGCACCCCACACGGCCAGCCCTGGCGTCGGTGGGGTGGGACGGCAAGGTGGCTCTCTGGGAGAGCTTTCATGGGGAGACTCCGCCAGAGTGCAAGAAGATGCGGCAGATCCCCGTGACTAATCATGAGGACTTATTTGACGAGTAGAGGGGAGATGGGGTCACTGGCGTTGGTGGGGTGGGACGGCAAAGTGGCTGTGTGGGAGAGCTTTCACGGGGAGACGCCCCCTGAATGCAAGAGGATGCGGCAGATTCCCGTCGCGAACCATGAGGATGTATTTGATGAGTAGAGGGGGGTTGGGAGGCATGGGAGGGGGGGAATGAGGAAGGAGGTCGTGAAGGGATAGTACAGGGATACACCCCTCCCTTTGATGTGTAATATAGCAAGGCACACTCCCCCCATTGCTCATGGGGATAGCTGTGGCAATAGAGGAGCTTGGGGAGGTGAGGAATGGGAGAGGAGAAGAGGATGTGGTGGGGAAGGGGCATTTGGTGCTGGTCGGTGGGGTAGGGAATGTTCCTCCTATTGTGCAAGAAAGTCTCCCTTTAAGCTTTTCCCTCCCGTCCCTAGCCCCCTCCCTTTCCCAATTTCTCCCTCGTTTCCTGCCCCAATACTCTCAGCTGCCGGTCTCCCTCCCTTTCCCCCTTCCCCTTCCCCATTCCCCCCTCCTTCTCCCTCCATCTTCCCAAGCCCCCTCCGCCTGTCTCTCTCGACCCGATACCGTCTTCCTGCTCCTTCGATAAAGGATGCCAACGGTGATGGTGAGGTGATGGTGAGGTGATGGACCATCACCTCAAAATTTCAGGGTAAAATACCCTGATTGCCCTGACTGGCGGCCGCTTTTTTTGGGGTTACTCTGACCCAGTCAGGCTCCCGGATTTCTTACCCTGACTCATAAAGAGTTAGAATTTTTGTACCCTTATGAAATCCGAGTTATAGATTGTTTCCCCTGACTTTCATCAGTGTTTTAAACCTGTTGCTCTGATACCGAGTCTTTCGTAGCGAGGATACGGTGTGTTGGGAATATAAACGCATGACTTAGTGCGTTTCTGTAGTATCGAACCTCACCCGATACTGAAGCACAACAAAAGGGGTATGAAGTCGAAAAGGCGCATACCACATCAAACCGCAACTGGAGGTTGCGAGCTGTAACCGCCTGGAGGTTACGTAACAGCAAGCGACGCTTCACGTGAACAGTAACTACCTCGATAGTCGAAGCGTTACGCGTCTCGATAAACATAACCGCTTCTTGTAATCTATCTTTCCTATGTACGGTATTCCTGTATGCTCTTTGCCTTAATCAATTACTTGTTCTCACATACCAGCAGGGCTCAGGTTTGAAGTGTAATTTACCCTTCTCCACTGATGAGAAGGGTGAAATTTTCAGTCTACACTGATGGGCTGGGGTAAAATTTTGGGAGATTAGTGTTACACTGATATGTCAGTGTAATGATTTAGGCCACATTGATGCTCTGGGGTAAAATTTTCCTTAGCGAAGATTACCCTGAAGAGCGTACAGGGAACCCCCCTTCCCCCCCCCTCCCCCCTTTCGGAAACTCTACCTATCGAGATGGTTCTCCAAAATTTCAAAACGGTACACCTAATTTCGTAATGATGCACTACGACGGCAGCACGTGAGTAACGACCGACACCGCGTCACTCCGTGTCTGCTTGCAGCCTACACGAAGCAAAAACTGCAACCTGATTGGTCGAAGCTGCTCTCAGTGCAGGACTTCAATTCCCTCGACTCCACTCGATCGAGGTCCCCAAACACATGTTCCCCCCCCCCCCGGGAAGCCTGCTGACTCAGTGAAACCAGACAAGCCACTGCGCTCGACTTTCACAACAACCCCCACCCACTAGTGCCATCTTGCGCAATTTGGGCCTCCAACTTGGTTGCTGCTAGCACCTACAGTACAATCAGGGTAAAAATATACCTACACTGATGCCTCTGGGTAAAGTTTTCAAAACTTCAAATTACACTGATCCATCAGTGTTACCAAAAAAGACACACTGCTCAAAAGGGTTTTGAAAATGTCTACACTGCTAATCATGAGTAGGTAAAAACCAAACCTGAGCCCTGCATACCAGCACAAGTACATTCACTCAAAAGACTTCCGCTGTGCTACTCTAGCACCTACTAGCCTATTCTCTGCAAAGATCCCAAGGCTGAAATCCTCAGCCCAACATGGTATGAGAGCAGTTAGAGAACAAAGGCTCTCGTCACTAAGCCTCTTCCAGGCTACCGATCTGCAAGCAACCAAGAAGTTCAATCTTCATTCAAGAAAGGCAAGACATGGCAAGTGGCAAAGAAAGAAGATCATCTACGGGATCTACTCTACCCCCTGTCTCCGAGTTGCAAACCGAAGGAGGAACAACGCCCGGATTAACGCCGGAAGCGACGGAACGTTCTACTCAAGCGCTAGTAGCGCCGCCAACAGTCTTCAACCCAAACTTAATGGAGGGGTTCTTCAACTTCATGTCGCAGCAGCAGTCCTCGCAACCTGCAAACAGCAACAGCGTAAACAACGGAGCGGCACCAATGAGTATTGACAACTCATCGTTCGGACGACATAATCAACAAACACCAAATTCGGTCTCACCTGGTTCCTTCACGTTCATGCCGCCTCGCCATCCAGCGACCCCTCTTCCCGCCATCAAACGAGACACCGAAGAAGTCCTGCAAGTACAAGCACAGTTCAACAACATCCTACGACTGCACACATCCACACCATTCAGCGGGAAGGACTTCTACTCTTGGAGCTTCGAGTTTGAACTCCTGATGGAAGGCGCGAATCTTCTTGGATTCTTCAACGGTACCTGGCCATATCCACACAACGGCGAAGACAAGGACAAAGAAAATTATACGTATCACTCCCTAATGGCTTACACCGTTCTTCTCCGAAACCTGTCGCCGAACGAACAACAAAGCATCCGCGCCTACCGGAACTACGCAAACTCCGCGGAACTCGCCTATCAACATCTGCGAAGCATTCATCAAGCATCCGACAGCGTTACACAAAGCCGACTCATGGCACAACTGACAACAGTTCAAATGCAACCTGGAGAAAAGGCCATGCCTTACATCAGTCGCTGTCAAGGACTACGCGACAGACTTATTCGCTGCGGAGGAAACTTATCTAAAGAAGCTTTCGTAACCGTCGTTCTTGCCGGCCTTGGACCTCAATGGCGCACCACCCGTTCACTTCTTCGCGCTCACGGTCGACTCTCCGAAATGCATCTCTGCGCCGAACTTCACGCCGAGCAGCAGGAAATGGACCTGTTCGAAGAACGCAACAACAAAAGGCATCATCAACCAGTCGTTTTTTACACCAATCGACGACAGCCACGTTACCAAAATCGAGGACACGCACCTCCTTATTGTCATCTGTGTCGGACTTCAGGACACACACGCTTCAACTGCCCTCAGCAACAACGACAACCAGCACCATTCTCTCGTCCTCTGCGACCCGCGCCTCCCCACATCGCGTCAACTCAACAACGACCCGCTACCGCCTCAACGACTACTTCAACGCGACCGTCAACTTCCACTTCGGGACCTGCACAGACACCAAGAATCGTCGCCATGGCACGAACAACAGAGTCAAACATCGACTCATGCATTACTGGCTCTCCACCGACTTACAGTCCTGATGAGCAACCGTCACCACCACCGTCGTCCCTTAACGTGAATCCAACGTACGCCGCCATCGCGAACAGTGCACCCACCGGACCAGACACATGGTTCCTCGACAGCTGTTGTGGTCACCACATGTGCTCTTCATCACGATTTCTTCAGCGCGAACGACGTCTTCCGCGAGACGTCATCATCACCATCGCCAACAACGAAAACCTGCGCACCAACAAACAAGGAGTCGTGGAGCTTCAGTCAAACGAAACAAACGTTATCCTTCAACTAAACAAAGTACTCGTCGTCGACAACCTCGGCTTCAACTTACTGAGCGTCAGCCAACTCATTTCGAAAGGCGTTCACCTGGAGTGTGACTCCGACGCCCTGGAAATCCGTCTTTACCACGGAAAAGGGGGGGTCTTCATCGGCCGCGCAATCCAACAAGATGACGTGTTCGTCCTCGATTTCGTCCCCGACAAAGGCACCGCAGACAGCGACGGCATAGTCGCTCTCGCACCTTGGACGCATCCGCCAGACCTCGACCCGAACTTCAGTCCTGAAGGCTTCTGGTACTCTCGTACCATTCCCGAAGCTGAACGTACCAATGCGCTTGCCGTCCTGCAAACACAAGCAACAACACCTGAGTCAGCACCCGAAACAACAACTGCACCCGTCACAACACCAACAACCACCGAACCTGCAGTTGAAGAACCAACCGTCGTCACGGAACAACCTTCCGAAACTCCACAGCCCGGTCCCCTCCGTCGCACCACCACCTCTCATCATCGACACGCCACCGACAGCCGCCCAACAGTTAACGCCAGCACCACGCGCCGTTCATCGAAGTGCAGCAACACACGCCGCCTTTTTCGCTAACGCAGACTTCTATCAACGCTCCGTCAGTCACAGCGCCTCCGAAGACATCTGGCATCAACGTCTTGGACATCCTGGAAACAAAACACTTTACAATACAGTACGAGCCGGAGTGTTAGACAAGAACGCCCTACTTCTTCCCAACGGACGTGAACTCGAACGACCACGCGGCACCTGCTTCATCTGCCCGGAAGCAGATCTGCCTCACCAACCGTTCCCGTCACACCACAATCCGAGCGCCCCCGTTATCAACCACTCGAGAAAGTCTACAGCGACATACTATACATACCTCGAACTGAAGGACGTGAAGATCTGAACTACGTCATCACCTTCATCGACACCGCAACGCGATATGTCTGGCACGTCAACTTACCGTCACGAGACATGGCTCTAGAAGCCTTCACAGCCTGGCTACCTGTCGCTGAAAGAGAGTCGGAGCGAAACTGAAGAGTTTTCAAAACAGATGGCGCAAAGGAGTACCAGTCAAACCACTTCACGCAGTTCTTGGCAGAAAGAGGCATCAAACGCCTCATCTCTCTTCCTTACGCTCACCAACAGCAGGGTGTGGCAGAAAGGATGAACAGGACCCTGCAGACAACCATGCGAAAGCTGTTACGTGGAACTCGACTGCCAACTCAGAATGGCCAGCAGCGATGGACCACGCTGTCCTCCTGCACAACTTGATGTCCTCGTCTTCACTGCCCAACAACGCATCTCCGCACCTGTTGTGGACTGGGAAGCTGGGCAACACAAAAATGTTACGAGTTTTTGGGTGTATGGTACAGTACCGCCCACACACTGCACACGCAGGGAGATTCTCGCAACGTACACAGTGGGGTCTACACCTCGGGCTGGCAAAACATTACGAAGCCTGGCGAATCTTCGACGTCCACACAAAGGAAACAGTAGCAGCACGTGACGTTATCTTCTACGAGCGACTCACCCTCAACCATTACCTGGACAACATCGCACGCCACGTCGACCCCACCGGCGGATTTTATGGTTCCCGAGCCTTCGCTTCACCCTCCGACGCTGCTGACTGGGAAGAAGAAAACGTCGACGGCGCCTCCGAAGCTGCTAGACCCCTTCCCTACTGCTCCGTCCCAATCCCCATGGACGAGGAAATCCTCGCGACAGCAACAATGCCGACGTCTACTACCATTTCGCCGACAATGGTTACGTAACACCCCAACCCGTCAACACCGACATCTCTGAACGATACGGCCCCGGATTCGCACCTGATCCTGAAGCGGGAGACGAAGCAGTCTATCCCGAGGACCCCTTGCTGAACCGTCACACCCCCAGCGGACTCCAAGTCCTGGGACTCGTCGCTGCAGTGCACGGGCCTTCGTCGCCACCTGAAGAGCCTCGCTCTGTCAAGCAGGCTCTGGGGGGGAACACAAAGAAAAATGGCGCGAAGCCATGGAAAAGGAGTTAAAAGCGCTTTCAGACCGCAACACCTGGAAGATCGTCCCTGCATCACTCGCACAAGACAGACCCATTCTCTCCGAAAATGGGTATTCCGGGTCAAAACCAACTCCGACGGAACCATCGAACGATTTAAAGCTCGATGGGTCGTCCGCGGATTCGACCAAGAGTATGGTCGCGACTTAATTGAAACTTTTGCACCAGTCAGTCGACATACTTCCCTTCGCATACTCCTCGCCATCGCCGCCTCACGTCGCCGCCCACTCCGACAAATTGACGTCGCCAACGCTTTTCTGTACGCCCCAGTCGACGCTGAAATCTTCGTCGAACAGCCCCACGGGTTCTTCCCTCGTCTGCCAACTACTTAAATCACTATACGGAATTAAGCAGGCACCGCGACTCTGGCAGCAGTACCTGCACGCACGACTTAAACGCATCGGATTCAACCAACTGCCCCATGTCCAGGGCATGTATCGCCTCACTCACGACAACGACTACGTCCTGCTAATCGTCTACGTCGACGATTTACTTTACATCGGGTCAACTACCACCATCGTCACCTGGTTCGAAAGGGAGCTTCAGACAGATCTCTCCCTCACAGTCTCACCCAACGTCACGCAGTACCTAGGGCTCAACATCCTCGACGAAGACAACGCCATTCGTCTCAGCGCCTCAAAATACGCAAGCACTATCGCCGAACGCTTCTGCATCACACCGACGCACGTCGCAACACCCTACAGTCACCTATCGCTCGATCCAACCGAAGAAACCAACCCACTGCCGTCTGCTGGAATCCAGGAATATCAACAGAAACTGGGCTGCCTACTCTTTGCCGCCGTTACGTGCCGACCGGACTTATCCTACAGCGCCAGTCAACTAGCGACCTACCTCAAGCGCCCATAACAACGTCACCTCAAGGAAATCAACCATGCCCTTCTCTACTTCATCTCGACGCCAACAGTCGGCTTAACGTATCACAAGAGCACGACGACCGACCTAAAACTACTCGGCTACGTCGACGCTGATCATGCTGCTGATCGTGTCGATCGTCGCTCTCGCACCGGCTACATCTACCGTCTCGAGCCCGTCGGAACTATCTCCTGGCAATCAAGTAAGCAGGAACTCGTCGCACTATCATCTGCTGAAGCAGAGTATATTGCTCTCTGCACCGCTACCAAGGAAGGTCTGTACCTGCGCGAACTGCTGGAAGAAGCGAAAATTGCGAAAGTACCCAGCTTCTCGCTTTTCTGCGAAAATCAGTCCGCGATACGGATCGCGAACAAGAATGGCTTCGCCAACAGAACCAAGCATATCGCACTGCGATACTTCTTCGTGAAAGACGAAATTGAGAAGGGAAAACTCCAGCTGGACTACTGCCCGACCACCGAGATGGCAGCAGATTATCTCACCAAGAAGCTACCAAAGGGGAAATTCGAGTACTGCATGCTGCTCATCGGATTGGACCACGTCACCGAAGTGGACCACGTCGACACTCCAGAAACGAAGGGGGGTGTTGGGAATATAAACGCATGACTTAGTGCGTTTCTGTAGTATCGAACCTCACCCGATACTGAAGCACAACAAAAGGGGTATGAAGTCGAAAAGGCGCGTACCACATCAAACCGCAACTGGAGGTTGCGAGCTGTAACCGCCTGGAGGTTACGTAACAGCAAGCGACGCTTCAGTGAACAGTAACCACCTCGATAGTCGAAGCGTTACGCGTCTCGATAAACATAACCGCTTCTTATAATCTATCTTTCCTATATATTTCTGTATGCTCTTTGCCTTAATCAATTACTTGTTCTCACATACCAGCACAAGTACATTCACTCAAAAGACTTCCGCTGTGCTACTCTAGCACCTACTAGCCTATTCTCTGCAAAGATCCTAAGGCTGAAATCCTCAGCCCAACACGGTGGATGTTGCGCAAAATGACACCAGCAAGTAGTGCACTACGCTTAGGGCGTGTGAAATTGCAACGACCATACGATATGGTCGATGATTTGGGCGTTTCTGGCGATTGCGAGGAATTAGGGTTACGCCGATTGAAGTAGTCACCCCGATATGACCGATTTTCACTGGTAATTTGTGAGCAGAAATTTACGCTCCGCTTTATGCTCAGCGGGGATATATTTTTCCGTTTACCTAAACCCACTGCTTTGGTAAACACTCTAGTCTAGGCTTCAGTCAGATCCCCCTATTCCACACCCCTTTTGAATGCAGTAAAGGGAATCATTTTTTTTCCTTTTTTATTAAGGGGGTGGTTTGGGGTAGGTGCCCCAAATGCTGACGAATTCTGTGGCGGGGTTCGTTTGAGTGTTACACATTTCGCACTCGCCAGAAACGCCCAAATGGTCGACCATAGAGTTTGGGCGTTACAATTTTACACGTACTTCCCAACACGAATGTTGAACCGACCTTTCCACTCGCAGCATCAACCCTAACGAAGTGAGACATTTGAACTTGCAGTAGCCTGTTCGTTCAAAATCTATTCTTATTCATGGAATCATTTTTTTACCCTGTTTTCATCAGGGTGAGAGATTTGTTACCCTAGGAGTCAGGGTTGGCCCACCCTGGAACTCTGATTCGACAGGGTGGGCCAAAACCAATTTTGTCCCTGGTGATGGTCCGATTGATGGTAGTGGTGTGCGGGAGCACTCTTGTGTTTCTTACGGTGTTTCCCATGCCTGTCCCTCTGTGTCATGCTGCGAAATGTGCATATGACTGCTATGTTTTCCATGTTCTCTCAACATTTGACTACAGATGAAGGTGTGTACAAATTAGCTTACTAACAATGTCGGTGCTTGATGGATGCGGTAATACTGAAGAGAGTTCATGACCTGGAAAGGTGTAGTGATTTGACACTGGCCTGCTTTTACTATGTACTAATCAAACAAACAATAAGAGCAAGCAGACACTGGATAATACACCAGCTACACCAAAGCATGCACAAACAAATCGACCTGCCTTACACCATATCAGGATACGAACGATTCAGCCACATGATGAAACAAACAAAGCTAGTGGGTCCCTCCGCTAGAGTGTGAGCAAGGCTCTTGTTCCCTATCCTGGAAGCATGCAATGCATGTGCGCAGGCAAGGCAGGCTACTCTGCTGTGAATGCGGCGAAGGAGGGGAAGGTGAGAGATGGCAGTGAAGCTGGGCTGGTGAAGGGAGAGGTTGGTTGAAAGGAGTGTGCATGCATGTATGTTTGTGTTCGGGTGGGTGGCTTGGTGGGTGGGCTATTCTACTGTGAGTCTGGTGAAGGCGGGAAGGTCAGAGATGGCAGTGAAGCTGGGCTGGTGAAATGAGAGGTTGGTTGGAGGCGGCTCTGCTGCGGCGAAGGCGGGGAAGGAGAGAGATGGCAGTGAAGCTGGGCTGGTGAAGGGAGAGGTTGGTTGAAAGGAGTGTGCATGCATGCATGTTTGTGTCCGGGTGGGTGGCTTGGTGGGTGGGCTACTCTGCTGTGAGTCTGGCGAAGGCGGGAAGGTCGGAGATGGCAGTGAAGCTGGGCTGGCACATATGGCGTTCCAGCTCTGCTCGTGTGGCTTGCATGACCACCTGAGTGGAGAGGGGGGGGAGACGGGTGGTGGGGAAGGGGACGGATTGTGGGGTAAGGGAGAAAGTGAGATTAGAAGCTGGGCTGGCACATATGGCGTTCCAGCTCTGCTCGTGTGGCTTGCATGACCATCTGAGTGAGGGGGAGGGGGTGGCGAGCAAGGGGGGGGATGGGCGGCGAGAGTGAGAACAGAAGCTGGGCTGGCACATATGTCACTCCAGCTCTGCTCGTGTGGCTTGCATGACCACCTGGGTGGCAACGAATGAGAAAGGACAGTGGGGAGGGAATGGAAACAATGATTGGGAGACACTCAATCCAGTTGATTCGTATTCCAAATTGACTGGCATGACTCACATTGACTTGCATGACTCACATTGACTTGCATGTCTCACATTGACTTGCATGACTCACATTCAACTCCATGTACGACGCTTTGAGCTCCAGCCAGTTAGCGTCCAGCAACTCAAACGTGACACAGTAGAGATGAACACAAGGGTAGTGCATGTTCGTGTGCACGTGCATGTATATGTGGTTGACTCACATTGAAAACAAACTGTGGTTGACTTCCATTGACTCACATTGAATTCCATGTACGACGCCTTGAGCTCCAGCCAGTTAGCGTCCAGCATCTCAAACGTGACACAGTAGAGGTCCTCAAACGCTGTTGGGTGCTCTGGTAGCATCTTCAGGAAGGCCCGTCCAGCTACTGTTGCGGGAATGTCTGGAGAAACAATGAGAGAGGAGAGAATGTACAAGGAAAGGGAAACGGAGATCGCGAGGGGAACGACCCATTCAGCATCTGACACCGGACAGGTGCTCTGATATAAGGTTCAGGAAGGCCTGTCCGGCCACTGTTGCAGGGATATCTGAAAAGAGATTAGGAGGAGCACATACAAGGGGAAGGGGAACAAAGATGGGAATGGCCCATCCCATCCAGCACATCAAACGTCACACAGAGGAGATTCACAAAAGTGAAGGATGTGAGGGATTGGAGGATGGGAGGGGCGTGAGGGAGGGATGACATTGCCTGTCTTCTTGGACAGTCAGGGACGACTGGCATTCTTTCCAGACCCGGACGCTCACCCTTGCGCAAGTCGAGGATGCTTATAAGGAGTACGGTGATGTTCACCCCGGCTGCTCCAAAGGGGTACTCCCACTCAACCCGGCGACCCTCCTGCTTGTACATGATGCGCTGAAACGACCTCTGCATTCAGGCACAGAAAGGGCAAGCAGAAAACACGTGTAGAGGAAGAAAATTCCTCGAGATATTTCAGTATCCTCCTGCCTGTGCATGATGCGCTGGAACCACCTCGGCAGCCAGACACAGAAAGAACAAGGAAAAAATACGCTTGCTTGAGAATTCATGCTTCCGTAACTCCAAAACATCTTCTCACCCCTCCCTTCCCCCCCTCCCTTCCCCCCGCCCTCCCCCCGCTCCCTTTCCCCGCTCCCTTCCCCCCCTCCCTTTCCCCGCTCCCTTCCCCCCCTCCCTTTCCCCGCTCCCTTCCCCTCCTCCTCCCCAAACGTACTGGGTACGTGCGAGCATAGTACACCAAATTCTCCAGCGCGAAAAATCCCCCGCCCCTGAAATCCGAGGCTGGGTTCTTCCCCTGCCACCCCATCTCCTTCCACCCCGCCACCTCTACCTCTTCAGTCAACACCCGCCCCGGATACGCCTGCTCCCACAGCTCTACTAGCGCCAATCTATGCTCCTCCTTGTCGTTTTCAAAGGGCGGCTGTATCCTCGTTTGTAGCTGCTTCAGGCACCGCTCCTGGGGCTCGGAGAGGGTGACTGGGGGAAGGGCGGGGACTCCACCGCGCAACTGCGGGGGGCCTCCGCGGGAGGGTGCGCGCGCGTGCGGGGGAAGCAGCAGCGTGGAGGCAAAAGAGCCGCCAGAGCAAGAACTTTGGTGCGCGCACCCGCCATAAGCTGGCCTGGTGGCAGGGGAGTGGGGGAGAGATGGGGGAAGAGTAGTGGGGTAAGGGAGTGAGTCAGGGGAAGAACGGGATAGAACGATCAATCTTATCTTAGGTACAACCTCCTTAGAAGTAAACAACAATGCTTGTTTGTATCGTTTCAAAACACTTTGAAGCAGTAGAAAAGGGAAAAAGAGAATGATAATACTAGACCCACCTAGCCATGAGGCCCCATTGAAAGACGAATGATCGAGAAGGTGCTGCCAAACTCTCGAGCCGACTTCCCCTGGCCTTGGAGATCCTGGCGACTGCACGGAATAATGAAGCACGGAATAATGAAAATGTCCGTGAGAGGAACGGATTTTATAATATATTTCTGTCAAAAGGACGAATAAACCAGAAAATCCTTCCAAAAGAACGGAGGAAATGGAAGGACGTCCGTCACGACTAAAGGAATCACGAGCCGGACAGAAAGGCTGAGAACACGCGGGTGTAATCGCTAGCTGAGGCGGCCCTAACGACGATGTAATGTAAGGTGTTCATTTGTGGAGGAAGGCACAAAGGAGGTATAGACGACGGCTATTAGACGAAGTCAAGAAAATGTTATGAAGTCCAAACTGATGATTATGTCGTATCCATCTGCACAAAAACATGATAACGTCAGCATGAATGTTAATGGTCCTCACTGGTTATTTCCAATTTCACGTTCATGGCTCTATAAAGCATCAACGACTGACCGACCTTCGCGTCGGCATTTGGGCTGGCGACACCATTCGCGGGATTCGCACAGGTCGTAGACGTCGCAGGCGGATCGCGTCGGTCGTCATCGTCGTCGTGTCGGTCGTCGCATGACAGTAGCGGTTCTTGAAGGGTGGATCGCACTGCGTTGCCTTCGTTGCTGACTCGACGTCTAATCACGGCTGATTGAGGCATGGCCGATACAATCTACAATCAAATTAGATTCTAATGTACAGAGAGATTCGATCTATGATGGATACCCTACCCTATTATTGTGAGCCGGCTTCCGTAACAGTATTATATCTGTCCTTACCTCATGAAAGGCAGAATCGAGGCCGAAAATAAGAGCAATCAGGAGGAGGTGAAGCGGACTCACTTTCGAGGAAGCCTACCACAACACAACAGATATTAAGTACAAGAACAGCGCGCCTGAGACGGCGACGTCGAGTGACGAAAGAGCAGATTTACCATGGGAGACTTCAGTGACACATCAACCGAAAGCTAGAGGAGTCTGAAGTGAACGAACAAGGACAATGGAGCCACGCTAGCGCATTATAAGGCTAAGATAACGAGCGTTGAGCACTGATAATGGCTGCACAGACAGACACAACCAGCCTGCTGATAATGAGCATTCAGGCTAGCCTGGAGCCCATAACGAGCATTCAGTTGTTGCCCTCCCTAGAGAACTCTCTGACGCTTCTGTCTGCTCCTGACAGACTGGAATTGGAACAGAGATAACTCCGTCCGACGGCACCCTTTGGAGTGGTCACTGCTAACTTGAGAACGCCGATTCCGTCCGTGCCTTGTCATCCGCGTTTCCTCCGTCCAACACATCTATCCATCCATCCCTCTGCTTCCGTCTAATGGCGGTTGGGATGGAAACGGGAAACTGCGGCTCCGTCTGGAAGTGTGTCAGCCGACAGTATGGGTGGGGCAAGCCCCAATCAGAGCAGAGCGCGCGAGTGAGCACGCAACCTCGCCTTGTGCTCCAACTCCCACGAATCGGTACACTTTCACGTTCAGCACATTAGGACTATGAGTGGCACAGATCACCTGTTTGAAGGAATTGTTAATGCAGCCATTTTCTTACTACTTAGTATATATAAAGCATGGTCAGCATAGCGTGACAAGGAGGACAAAACAAGCTGGATGTGTCTACCCTTTGATAGATTTTTGTTCTCATCCATCCCTTCGCACGCAGCGAAGGAGACTTGTGCGGGGACTAGGGACTCCATTAGCTTCCTAACTCTATGAGCCTCGTTGTGTCATGAACGGCAGCAGGAGATGCCTCATCTTCAATCTGCAAAAGAAGAAAAACGCAGAACAAACACGTTAAGTTTAGATCCAAGGACAGCAAACAAGGCAAGCACATGACGATAATATGTCACCATACCTTCACAGCTTTCTTTGGAAGCAAGAGAAGTCCCTTCTTCTCAGGGCAGACCTAAGCATCTGCGGGCTGCCCGCCCAAAACTCTCCTCCGCTTCCCGAGCCAAAGCCGACAGGGCCGGCTGCACCTCAGCCGCCAGATCCGGCCGAAGCTCTGCCTGTCCCGAAGCACAGCGCAGAGCCAGAAGCACCACCACAGATGCAATCTCCACCGGCCATTCCCCTGCTGTCACATCCAGTCGGCTCAAAAACACGTCTACAGCCTCAGCCAGGTTGAACCCGCAGGTAACACCTCCCCCAGAAACCCCCCCCGGCCACCCTGCCTGCTGCTTCCCCAGCTGAGTCTTCCCTGTGCCCATCCATCCACCCCCCCACCACCTGCCCCTGAACCTCCTGCTGCAGTCGAGTGCGTGTGCATGAGGGAGTGGATAAGTGAGGGGCTGGTGATGCCGGTTACCAGCTGTAACACCACAATGCCGTATGCATGCAGGTCGTCACTTAGTACGCCCGTGCTGCTGGGGCCATGCTGGCCTGGACCCTCCGCTCCCACTGCTGTGCTGCTGCTGGGGTCAGAATCCGAGGCAGAGGCAGAAGCAGAGAGAGGGCTGCTCCCCAGGCTACCATAGAAGGGAGACGAGGAGAATGAGAGGCCAGCACCGCTGAGTTTACACGCGGAGTTTCGGTCCAGAAGCACGTTCTGTAGAGTCACGGCGCCGTGCAGCACGGGCGGCGAGTGCTGGTGCATGAAGAGCAGCGCTCCTGCCAGCTCAGAGGCCAGTCGCAGCCGGTCCACCCAGGACAGCCATATTGCTTCTAGCTCCTCCTCTTCCTCCTCGCCGAAGGTAATGCCCCGTTCTCCACTAGGAGAAGCAGCAGCACCGTCCCCTGCACCGCTGCTGCTGTTACCAACACCCTCCTCTGCTCCAGTAGCAGCACCACCAGAACCACCACCACCATCACCACCAGCAGCAGCAGTGGCAGCGGCAATAAGGGAGTGGATGCGGGAGAGGCGGGAGGAGAGGCTGCCCCCAGGAGCGAACTCATACACAAGGCAGGGGTACTCGGGGCAGTGGCCCATCAGCAGCAGCAGGTGCGGGTGCCTGAGCCGCCTTAACACGTCCACTGCTGCTTGCACTGCTGCTTGTACTCTCTCTCGAGACACTTGACCTCCCCCTTCTGTGGACGGATCAAGGAGACCGGATGAACCGAAGGAGCCAAACGCACCCGATGAGGCAACAGCGGCACCATCTGCTTCCACCACTCGCTCCTCTTCCTGCTTTCCCCCTCCCCCCTCTGCACCATCTACTGCAGTCTTTTCAGTCTTCTCATTCTTGTCTGTTCTTCCACACGTGTCCTCATGCACAGTCAGCAGTTTGATCGCCACCTGGCACCCAAATATCTCCCCCCGGTAGCTCGGCCCGAGCCTGCCTTGGCCAATCAGCTGCAAGGGCGAGAAGCCCCCCGTGGCTCGGAGAATCTGGTCCGGGGGGAAGCGGTGGCAGTCCGCCGAGTCTATCCGGCTGGTTTGGAATCCGGCTTGGGAGGAGGAGGACGAGAACGAGGAGGAAGGAAGCGGGATAGGGAAAGCTTGCTGCTCAGTGCTCCCCATTCCCGGATTACTGCTGCTGCTGCTGTTAGCAGGGCTAGCAGCACCACACGACCCACCATCTCTTGACCCTTCTCTTGCTGCCACCGCTGCAGCGTTCCCTACTGCTGCTGCAACCTCTGCTGCTACTGCCTCGACCCCACCCCCCATCTCACCCTCACTCCCCATGCTCCTCCTGCCAGACACCCACAGCTTCTTCCCCACCACCACAGGTTGCTGGGGTAAAGCTGGGGATCCCTCTCCCTTCAAGCTTTTCTCAGGGTGATTTCCCCCTTGCTCCAATCCACCCTTCAAAATCCCTCTTTCGCTCTCTCTTTCTGCCTTGCTTCCTCCTTCTCTCCCTCCCTTTCTCCCTCCCCCTATTGCTTGCTCGTGGGATACAGTCCTTGCTACCTTCATTCCTCCGGTCCCTCTACCCCCCACTGGGCCTGTGAGCGGGGTACGTTCGGCGACGGCGAGCCTACCGAAGCTGCTCCCGAGCCTGCCGCCGAACCTCCTACAGAGGCTGAGGTTGGGGCGATACGAGGAACGATGAGTAGGCTCGTGTCGATTCCCTCAAACTCGTTTCCCTTCACATGGAAATCCTCGCTCCCCTGGTGCGAATGCCACCCGGTCCGCCCACCTGAAAAACCACCTGAGAAACCACCTGAGAAACCACCTGAACGTCCACCTGAGCTCTTGGCAGCTTGCATATCAGAGTGAATAGCAGACAACCCAGCTGCCACACTCTCTAACCCCTTCCACAGAGGAGACTTATCCCCATGAGATCTCTCCCCACCATACGTCTTCTCCCCCTGCCCCGTCCCCTTGCCATACCCCCCGTGCGCCCCCTGTCCCCCCTTGCTGCTGCTGCTGCTGGTGCTGGTAGTACCACTGACGGAGGAGGAAGAGGGGAAGAAGCCTCGGCCCCTGGTGGGTGGGGAGGGGGGGTGCCCTGGGGAGTGATGGAGGCAGAAGAGGAAGAGCCGGAGTGCCTGCGCGTGTGGTGGCCTGTCCCCTGCTGCCGCTGCTCATCCTGCTTCTCCTGCTGATCCTGCTGCTGCTGCACCTGCTGCAGCCCCTGTCTCTGCTGCCCCTGTTCCTGCCTCTGCTGCCCCTGCTGCTGCTGCTGCCCGCCTGCCAGAGCAGGGTGCACGGGGGACGGCTTGTGCTGCTCGACCAGAATCTTCTGCAGCCCAGTGAACTGCTGCCGCATCTGCTGCTGCAGCCTCATCATGCGCTGCCGGTCTGCCTCTGACACTGGCCCACTGTTCGACCCTGCTGCTGCTCCTGCCGCCGTCGCTGCTGCTACAGCTACAGCTGTTCTGTCCCCTGCCGCCCCGCCTCGTCCCCCATGCCCCCTCCTCTTCTTCCCACCCCTCCTCCTGCTGCTCTTCCTCCTGGGGTTAATGCTCCAGGGCTTGTTCCAGGGAGAGAAAAGCCTCTGGGGGAAGCAGGGGGACGAGTGTGTTTGGGTTGTCTTGACTAGCGCGCGGCTGAATCCTGTGTTCTGTTCATACTGCTGTTCTCCAGCCACTGCGCCACCCCACAGCACCTGAGGCTCACCTGGGGTTGGGCGTCGTCTGCTCTGCTGGAGGCGCTAAGGCAGCCAGGGCTGGGGGTGGGTGGGGGGGACGGGGGGGGGAGGTGCTATCTGGGACGATGATTCGCAACGGGCGGAATTTTCGCTGCCCGGCGGGCAGGTTCTGCTGCTGCTCGGGCAGGTGATGCGACTGCTGCTGCGACTGTTGCTGTGACTGCTGCTGCTGTTGCTGTTGTTTTTTTCTGCTGCAGCAACTGAAGCTGCTTCAGCACCTGCTGCTGATGCTGCTCCTCATGCACTGTCGACGGTGTTGGCAGCAGCACCGCTGGCACCCCAGCACAGCAGCAACACCCCCACCACCACCACCACGACCAGCACCAACACCACCAGCAGCACCAGCAGCACCAGCACCAAAGCCAACGCTACCAGCAGCAGGCACCCCACCAGGGCTTCCCAAGGCGGCAGCAGCACTCCCGGCACGCACACGACCCGCCACCTCCGCTCTATCCCACAGAGACACGATCCTCTGCTGCCCGATGGCCACCCGCTGCAGCTCTGCCTCCCAGTCCGCTATAGTGAAGGAGGACTTGGGCCGACACACCGCGTCGTACCCATCGTCATCGTCGTCGTCGTCGTCCTCCTCATCATCCTCATCCTCGTTATAGTCGTTCTCGTTATAGTCGTTGTCGTTGTCACTTCCAGCGTCGTTTTCTCCGCCGTCATTGTCGTAACAGTGTTCATCAGCAGGATAGCCAGCAGCAGCAGCGGCGGTGGCGGTGGCGGTGGCAGCAGGAGCATGAGCCGCAGAGGAGAGGAAGAGCCAGAGGAGCCAGCTTTGCGTGAAGCAGGAGTGGCAGAAGAAGACGAGGAATGCGAGTCAGGGAAGCGAGGCGATGCCGACGCAACAGGGGCGGCAGGATTTGGACTGGAGGGGCTGCCTTTGCGTGGTTTGGACTTGCGTGAGCGTTTGGAGGAGGAGGAGGAGGAGGAGCCTGGTTGGCCCACCACTAGCATGCAGCCAGGGGGAGGCGGCGGAGCAAGGGGTGCGTGGATTGAGTGAGAAGGCGGAAGACAAACCGGGGGGGGGGGAGAGGGGAGGAGGGGTGGGAGAAGAGGGGAAATGGGGGAGGAGTTTGATACTGATTGATTGCTGTGCCACGAGCCTGGTTGCCTTGCTGCATTCAGGGGGTAGACAAGGCACAACAACGCAACCAGCTCACCTCGTCGTCCCCTTCCACCCACCCACCCACTTCCCTTGCTGCTTCCACCCACCTCTTGTTCCCCACGTACAGCCGTTCTGCTGCAGTGGCCCACACGGCCTGGCAGATCCCGCTTGATCCCCACCCACCCACCTCTTGTTCCCCACGTAGAGCCGTTCTGCTGCAGTGGCCCACACGGCCTGGCAGATCCCGCTTGATCCCCACCCACCCACCTCTTGTTCCCCACGTAGAGCCGTTCTGCTGCAGTGGCCCACACGGCCTGGCAGATCCCGCTTGATCCCCACCCACCCACCTCTTGTTCCCCACGTAGAGCCGTTCTGCTGCAGTGGCCCGCACGGCCTGACAGAGCGCCTCGTCCCGCCGCTGCCCCCACTCCACGTGCACGCGCGCAGGCACGCGCGCCTGCCCGCACTGCGCCAGCAGCGGCTGCAGCAGCGCCTGCAGTACAGGGGACACCCCCTCGCTGCTGCCCCCGCTGCCCTTCTGCTGAAGGGCCGCGCCCACTGAGGAGAGACAGGGTAGGGCAGGCGGGAAGCAGAAGGGGAAAGAGGGGTTTCAGCAGGGAGTGCAGCAGCGCCTGCAGTACAGGGGACACCCCCTCGCTGCCCCCACCGCTCTTCTGCTGGAGGGCCGCGCCCACTGAAAAGAAGGGGAAGGGCGGGAGGGAAGCAGGATTAAAAAGAGAGGGTTTTTTAGCAGAGAGAAAAGAGGTGTCTCAGTAAGGCATTGTCACGACGCCAGTGCTGCTGCCCCTCGTTCGGCCTCCGCCACTGCCCCATTCCACGTGCACGCGCACAGGCACCCGCGCGCGCCTGCCCACACTGCTCCAACAGCGGCTGCTCCAGCACGAGATAGGAAATGCAGGAGAACGCGGAGGCAGTGAAAAAAAGAAATATCACTTGACCTCGCCTAAGGCCCACCAAACCAAACACACCCTGGACTACTACAGATACCTATACACAGGAGGGTTTAGGGCAAGACTACTCACAAACGCTGAGCTATTATACGCCACGAAGCACAGCACAATATCGTCCAACCCTAAACTCAATGCCAGCCCACCCTATTGTGACGAGTTTTGAGACGTCACAAACGCATGTACACACGAGAGGTTAGGGCAGCAGTACTTACGAATGCCTAGCCCTTCTCCCGCCACGAAGCACAGCACAATTTCAATTCCCGGACTCGACTCCAACACCCCTTCGCGTCCTCCTGCTCCTGCTGCTCCTCTTCTTTCTTGATTCGGCTCCACCTCTCCTCCTCCTCCTCCTCCTGCCGCTTCCGTATCCGCGTCTCTACCACCGGGAACTCCGAGCCTTCTCTCAGCGGCTTCCTTCTCCAGCTGCTTCTGCCGGTCGTGTAACGCTAACGTTAACAGAGCACCGTTCAGTTCCATGTTCTTGACGGAATTCGCTTCCACCATCCAGAGCCTCGGGGGAGAGGGCCCGGTTCGGTCGGTAGCGGATGACGCCATGATTCCGTGATAAAAAAGCTAGCCTTTGAAACCCGTTTATTGACGGGGCCAGCCCTTGAAACGCGTTTCTTTCAAGGCGCCAGGCCTTCAACACAAGTCTGAACTCCGCGACAACAGACGCGGCGTTGCTCGAGTTTGGCAACACTACCTTATTACATGCTCTTGTCCTAACGAAGTCTTGCTGGGTAAAAAGGCGCGAAGACTATAAAAAAACACTTAGGTAAAGATGTTAGATTGGTAGCTGGACGCTGGTCGGCGTCGGCGAAGTCGGAAAAGTTGAAATGCAGACGAGGTCAGACTACCCTAAGCTGCTCGCCGTGCAAAATGGCTAGACTACTACTTGAAAGCAAGGTTCTTAGGCTACTACTAGAAATAAAATGATGACGGAACTAACTCAGGCAGCTCAGCCCTCAGCTATCTAGCCTCGCAGGATGTCAAGTTTGAAATTCTGAACAACGCCAACAATGGAGGGAAGAGAATGAACGTTGACCAGGGTCAGCGAGGAAAAGTCCAGTCAGTTACGTTACGGCAACAAGCAGAGGGACCACGTAAGCAGCCACGAGGGGGACGTGTGAGGTACGGACAATGCAGCTTATGCTCGTCGTGTCGTGACTCGTGGTGAGCCAGATGGAAGTGGCACGGATTATGTTCTTCTGGAAGCCATGAAACAGAGAAAAGAAACGCTTGTGCGTGGACCTCGAAGTCTGGACTGGCTGGACTTGCAGCATTGTGGAGGTACAGTGAGGTAAAATCGGAGACGGAGGGGTTGTGAAATGCGAGTAGTACGGTTTTGAAGGCACAAAGAGAGGGTAAATGCGGTACATTACGGTGCGTTCAGCGACAAGCACCTCAGGACAGCATGACTGTTACGATGTTAGTGTGACGGTTAGCTTCACAGCATCGTAACGGCGATGACGAAATGGACGGCATGGATGTCTCGAGTGTGATGTAAGAGCGTCCTCGACGTTCTCGAGATTGTGCTCCTGCGCTGGGCGAAGCCGCAGTCAGTTGCCGAAATGCAGTTTGAGGAGAAATGTGTTACAGACCTAGGACGAAATTGAGAGCATCTCTGATATTCGCAAATATCGAGGTTACTAATAACGGAGGGATAATTTCATTTTCGAGCCGCTTTACCAGCCAAGCCAACCAATGAAAGGCGTTGATCCAACCAATGAAAGCTGTAGAATTCCCTCTTCCGCTGACTGAAATTGACGAACAAGATTTTCCGATCGGCACCTACAGAAGCCACGTCACTTTGCGCTGCGCGCGCATGTGTGGTTCGAAACAGCTGATCCAACCAAACTGCCAGAATGCCTTATCCGTGCCGTGACCCGTTCAGGCGAACTGTGCAAACAGTCAAGTTCACTCAATACCTCAATTAGCCGTTGTGAAAGCTATTTCAAACGTTTAGAACGCGAAGTTGTTTTCTCTTAGTGGTTATGTTAATGAGAGCGACAGCCACCTTGACAGGGTTGCCCATTAGCTATTTATCCCTGAGAACGGCGAATGACGGTCTGGGCTAGTGAAAGCGCCATGACGGCAAAACTGTCCACTTTCTCAGACTGCTTGAGCCTGAGAAACACAGCACGGCCTTCTTCATTCGCGAGTAGAAGCGAAAGTTTACGATTAGCGAAGAGTGGGGTAACCATCACTTGCAAGCCATCTGTAACCATCAGGTCAGTGGTAACGGTAACGAGAGAAAACCGACCTTCTGCCAGTGACAATGTATCAAGCCGTTTGACGCGGAGGGTGATCTCTTCTATAACCCCAGCATCATCGTCAGCAGCAGCGTACAGCCCCGAAGGCTTCCGATGCTATGTCGGACAAAGAATAGCTGGCCGGAGAATCCTTCGAACCATCCTTCCAAGTCCGGGAGCTGCAATCGGCGGAGGGGTGGGACTCGTGGATGAGGCGGAAACGAGAGGGGAGGGGGAAGCGGGAGGCGGAGGATCGGAGGAAGCAGTATGCGGGGGATCCGGGGAAGGAACTGGAGCGGGGAAGGCAAGCGGAGAGGAGTCTGTGAATGGTGAGGAACGGAGAGCGGGGAATGGCGGAGATTTGCCAGCAGAGGCGCTGAGAGCTCGCGGGAGTTCCGCGAGCGCAAGCGAGGGAAGAGGGGGGAGAAGAGAAAGAAGGGATGCTGGTTCGGAGGGGACCCGCGGAATGCGGACGGCGAGATGGAGGCGAAACGCGAAGAGGGAGCGCTCGCGAGGTTCGCCAAGGGATTTCGCGCGTTTGTTACCAGCAACTTTCTCCTCGTTGGTGAGTAGAAAGTCCTGGAAG